TGAGTTTTTAGTGTATCTTACAGTTACTTGAGCATCATGGCAAGAGTTGGGATGGAGCAAAATCTCTCACACAGGTGACAGTGTCCTTAATGAATATGGGCAAGTGTCATGGTCATACCTGCAGTAGGTAATAGAAAAAGAAGCTCTAGAAGATGGCTGGTCACACGAAATGATCCTGACCATGGAGATATTGTGTAAAGTAGGGAAGAATAATACAGTAAAATGGAAAGTAAAGTTTAGGGGAAGGTAGTAACCCTAGTGGCCCACAGCTGTGGTGGATATGAATGGGAAAGGCATTGGAGCAAACTCTCCTAGAACCTGTCATGGGAAGCTGTGGTCTAGGGTGACAGCAAAGTTTCATTTAAGGCAAGATGTAAAGGGTAGACTCTGTCAAGACCCTAAAGATTTAGGAGAGTTTGTTTATACCATGACAGAAGTGAGAGGAGATGCCAGCAAGGTACAAGCAGCAGGGAGCAAGGAGCAAGCAGACCAATTCGCTACCAAAAGCAAACCCTATTTGCGTCATGCTCCTCTTTTCAATTTTTTTCTGGGCTCTGAATATTAGACCTGTGTTGTTACCAAGTAACAGATAGAAATCGTGGGGGTCTCAGTTTTCTTTCATCACTCTGCCGCTATCGTCTTTCATCCTGGCAATCAGATAATAAGTTAAACTAAGTTATAGTATATCCCAGCAGGGAAGAACTCGGCCTGATAAGGGAAGGAGGTGGCATTACGCAGGAGGATCTGTAGGACCCTGCCAACATGCAACAGCTGGAACAAGGACAGTACTCCTGGGGCTGCCTTCTGAGGATGCTGAACAAGAAGAGAATGGAAAGTAAATTTGCATGAGAGATGGATTATTGATCTGAGAGCAGTCTCCAGGGAGAGAGGATCAAACATCCTGGCATGACTCTGGGAAACATTGCTGTCATGCTCCTATGATGGCTTTAAGAAGTTGGTGGAAAAGTGGTGGCCCACGCTAAGAGAAGTAGAAATGCGACAGCTGCCACGGCTGATGATGGAAGTAGAGATCAAAATGCTCAGAGAAATGGGTATGCTAGAGTGGCCGTACCATGTAAGGCTGGAAACCTCCCAGGTGTCAAAACTTCAGTTCAGGTGTGCCATTTGTTAAATAGACATGCAATTCTCTGGTGACAAGGGCACCAGCATCACTGAAAAGCTCGGTGGTAGGTCTCCTCTGTAGGTCATGGTTGACGATAAAAGATGCTGTTATGGAATTGAGTTCACAGACAGCAATGGGGATAACAGAATCCTGAAATAATAGAGGCCTGCTGGTGATGCTTAACCACCAGAATGGTACAATTATCCTAATGAGTGGCAAGATTGAAGTGGCAGCAGAACTCTTGACCCAGAGCAAGCTTAAAAGATGCTTAATAGAATAAGGCACCCCTATGGGGAAACACAGCTAACCAAGAGTATACTTAACCTATTCAGTGAACAGATATCAAGAACGGAAGACAACAGGCTCAGAGAAGCAGCCTCAATAAAAAGTCACAGTCTCTTTCCGAATTTCCTGACTTGAGCCACTTTACCAATCCAGAACCCACTGACTGGTGGAGAGGCAGGATGCCAGGAAGAAGGACCCTGCAATGCCGTAGCAAGAATAGATGGTAATGACTTCCCCACACCACACCCTACTCTCAGTCTTTCCCTTAGGGACCTATGGCCATTCACTTGGAAAATCATACACTGAGGAAAAGGGAATGCTCAAATATTTGGAGGGTTGTTGGACATGATCATTAATGATACCCACGAACCCAAAATATTATTATGGCTCCTGGTTAGAGAAGAGGTATTCAGAAGCTAGAGAGTTAATGGAGTCCTTGTCCAGGTCTGGCATACAGTGGGTCTACTGAAACACGAGCCTATGTGGTGGTCATTTCCCTAATTCCCAAATATATAATTGAAATGAGCATCCTTGGTAGTTCTTACAATACCCACATCAGCTCCCTGGCCTATAGAGTGAGAGCTAGCAACACGGGGAAGGCCAAGAGAGAGTAGCCTCTGAAATTGTACAGCCATGACAGTGAAAAATAAAACGATATAGGGGAATGATAGATATTAGTCTTTTTTTTGGTTCCCTTTATATCACCATTTAATTCATCGTACTTGACCTACAAAAGCCTGACAGTTCCTGGAGAATAGACAGCTGACTGCTGCAATCAACAAAGTAACAACTCCAATTAGAGCTGCTGTACCAGATGTGAAATCCTTACAAGAGCAGAGCAACATGACCTCAGACAACAAGTTTGGGGTGATTGATATGGTGACATGTGCTTCCCCAACCTTATCAGAAAGTAGAATCCAAAAGTGCTCATATTTAATTAGAACAAATAATAGAAAATATTTACAATATTGACCCAGAGCTAAATTGTGTCTCCTTAAACTCTATAATAACGTAGTCCCAAGAGACCTGAACTGTCAGGACATGCTGCAGGACATCCCACTGTTCTACAACAGAAGAGGAAAAATTAATAAAATAAAATTAATGCAGGAAAGGGAAGCAGAAATTAATTTTTTTTATAAGCAAACTTCCCTGAGTCCTTCCCCCTCCTGTGGGATTGTGTCCTGCTTTGCAAGTTTTATAAGTTTATAAATTCTTGTATTCTTGTTCTCTGTGGCTGATAACTATAAGTTTCTGTAACACAGTGAAGGTCATAAAAACTGCCCAAGCAGGCAGGACTCCGGCCTTCTGGGCACTGTAGCAGAAGGTAGTAGGTAAGGCCCATGCTAGAATCCTTGAGCTCTACAGATGGTGAACATCAGGGTGGCATAGCAACTGTTATATGTAGGCCTACGTTAGGTGCCTATCCTTGCTTAATGAATTACCTTTGTTCTATACCTGCAAACTTGTTTTAGCGCCACTGTGTACTTCATGTATAAAGTCAAGCCCTGCCTTTGTTAGGGGCTCAGCCATTTTCTTCCCAGTCAGGGAACCAGCTGGGCCAGTGTGCACCTAAAATAAACTCCTTCCGTAACCTCAGCGGTCTCTCCAGCCTCTGAAATCCTGCAACACTACAGGGATGGTGTTATGCTTGAAAGATTGGATGAGCAAGGATTTGGAAAACAGATTGGAGGCCTTGGTGAGATACGTATACTTCCGAGTGTGGAAGAAAATTCCTGCAAAATGTTGATATTTCACTAAATCAGTGAAATTTAGGGATTCTATGATGCAGGGCATACTTTTGTGTGTCCCACTTAAGAAAGATCTGCCTGTTTTGAAATCATGTTTTCTTCCATTAATATTTATTATTTTACTTTAATATTTAAATTATGATTCATCTGGAATTTTTTTTTTGTATCTGTGTGACGCAGGGCATCCGTCTTCATTTCTTGCATCACGTTAACACACGTTTTGTGTCATGTTAATAAACGGGATCATTTATTTGTGGGGCAGGATGGGGGAGCGTGAGACTTTACTTTGTTGCCCTGTACTCACCTTCGAAAAATCAAATTACCTTATGTGTCCACCTTTTGTAGATCCCTCTATTCTGACTCATTTGCCTGTTTTCTATCCTTGTACCAATCAAACACTGACTTAATAACTGTAACTTTATAATAGATCTTGGTATTTCATAGTTTAAATACTCCAGCTTTGTTCTTCAAAATTGCCTTGACTATTGTAGGCATTTGCATTTCTGTATAGATTTTAGAATCTGCTTATCTATTTCTACTCGAAAAAAAGCATCTGAGACGTGACTGAAGTTACATTGAATCTATAGGTCAATTTTTGGGGAAATTACATCTTAATCTGTGTTGGCCGGGTGTGGTGGCTCATGCCTGTAATCCAAGCGCTTTGGAGACCAAGGTGGGCGGACCACCTGAGGTCGGGAGTTCAAGAACAATCTGTGAACATAATGCATTATCCTTGCATTTATTTAGGACTTTTAAAATTTTCTGTCAATAATGTTATGTAGTCAATAATGTTTTGTATCACGTATTTTGATCGATTTAAAAAGTACTTGATTATTTTGGTGCCATTGTAATTATCTTATACAAATGTAATTTTTTATTTTCTGGAATAAAGGGATACAATTAAATTTTGTATCTAGATATTATATTCAGAACCTTATTACATTCACTTATTAATTAAAATAGTTTGCCAACAGTCTTTTAGATTTTCAATATAGGCAATCATGTAATTTGTGAATAATGACTGTTATTTCTTCTTTTCCAATCTGAATGTCTTTTGTTACTTTCTCTCCTTTATTACATTGGCTAGAGCATCTAAAGCCATGTTGAAAATAAATGGTAAGATCATGTACATCCTTGTTTCATTACTGATGTCATGGGGAAATCTTCAGTAACTTACCTTAAGTATACAGCAATGTAAGCTGTAGTTTTTTTGTAAATGTCCTTTTTCAGATCATGGATGTTCTTTCTTTTTTGAACATACAATACTCATGGTTTATTATATAAATCCAAACCTGAAAAGTCGAAATTCCCATTCAGGCTATTGTCAAATAAAAAAAGCTTAGTTTTTGGAACACGGGTTTGAATCTTGTTTTATCCACTTTGTGTAACTGGGGACCTTAATAGCTTATTTTCTGCACTCCTTCAGTGTTACTGTAAAACTCCCAAGCATTTGATGAGACATTGCACAGCTACATCTGGTTGCCTGACAGCGTTGGGATGTAGCAGTCAACATTCTGCATAGGTCCCAGTTCTTAGGCAGGATTGTATAGGGTAATTACCCAGGAGGCTTTCTAAAGCTGAGGTCTGTATTACCGTCCAACCCTAGCATAGCGGACACACCTTACAATCATCAAGTTTATACAGGTAACCTGGACAAAGCATCTGCTCTGATCCTTCCTCCTGCCACCCCAGTGCAGTTTTCAACACTGTACCATGAGGTGCCGTCTTGTTAGGTGACAGGGAAAAATCCAGCCTGTGTCACGTCAGAATAGGTTGAAAGCCAGCATTACAAAACCGAGACCATTTTTGCAGAGCACATTCCCAAACGATGGGCAAGACCAACAGCAGTTAAAGTTCAGCTTTTTATTGAACACATTATAAAAGAGGTTTAGTCACAAAGACCAAAGCCCATATCATCATCAGACTCCTTGGATTCTTCTTTCTTTGCTTCCACTTTCTTCTCCTCAGCTGGAGCCGCAGCAGCGGAGGGGGCAGGACCTCCTGCTGGAGCAGGCCCGCCAGCCCCCACATTGCAGATGAGGCTCCCAATGTTGACGTTGGCCAGGGCCTTTGCAAACAAGCCAGGCCAAAAAGGTTCAACATTTACACCCGCTGCTTTAATGAGGGCATTGATCTTATCCTCCGTGACGGTCACCTCGTCGTCGTGCAGAATGAGGGCCGAGTAGATGCAGGCGAGCTCGGAGACGGAGGCCATGGTGCGGGTGAGTGTGGGGCGAGTCGCCGGATGAAGTGAGGGCCTCACGCGAAGGTGGCCGTAGCCTCCTCGGAAGGACCGAGCACCTTGGCGGCAGCTGAGGAAAAAACCATGGATGTTCTTTCTATTCCTGCTTTGCAGAGAGTTTTTATCATAAACGGATGTTGAATTTTATCAGCTTTTTGCAACTCTCAAGATAATCATATGATTTTTCTTTTTAAAATTATTCTGGTGGATTATATTTATTCCCCCCCCCAAAGTTAACCTATCCTTTTGTTTCCAGATAAATCCCACTTGGACGTAATTATTCTTTTAAATATACCACTTGATTCAATTTGCTAATATTATGTTTAGGATTTTGCATCTATAATGAAAACAGAGATTGGTAAACCAGCCCCCCCCCTTTTTTTTGAGATAGTGCCCTCCTATTGCCCAGGCTGGAGTGCAGTGGCACAATCATGGCTCACTGCAGCATGGAACTCCTGGGCTCAAATGATCCTTCTGCCTCAGCCTCCTGAGTAGCTGGGACTACAGGAGCATGCCACCACGCCCTGCTAATTTTAATTTTTTTATAGAGATAGGGTCTTGCCATGTTGCCCAGGCTGGTCTTGAACTCCTGGCCTCAAGTGGTCCTCCCACCTTGGCCTCCCAGAGTTCTGGGATTAAAGGTGTGAGCCACACTGCTGGGCCTAAACAAGCATTTTTAAAGTGGCTTTTTCTCCCCTATTACAGAACGCTTTTGAAAGCCAGAATTTATGTGATCAGAAGTGTGCTCTCTGATGTTTATTTGGTAGTGCACAGTGTCTGAAGTCCTGCCTGCCCCGCTGATGTCTCCCACTCCCTGCCTGCGTTCGCCATTGTCCCTGATTGCTTCCCTGGACAAGCCCCTCACCCAACCCTGCCATCTTAACCATTCTTATGATAATGTAAATACCTCTCACCCAACCCTGCCATTGTAACTGAACTTGTTGTCATGTATACTCCCTTGCCCCTACCCCCTACCACCGTAACTAATATTACTTTGCAACACTCCCGCCCCCCAAAAAACTACCCAAACCTATAAAACCAACTCCTATTCCACTGCCCTTTGCTAACGCCCTTTTCGGCCTTCGCCCACCTGCACCCAGGTGAATAAACAGCCATGCTGCTCACACAAAGCCTGTTTGGAAGGTCTCTTCATTCAAAGCGAGGGTTTTTCAACAGAGGATGTAGAAGAGATGATGTGGGAGGTGGGTGGTGATGGGTTAGGAAGCTACAGGAATTAGGCGAGCTTGAACCAGCTTGAGACCGGTGGAAATGGAAAGGAGGGGTATTAAACACAGGAGACTCCCCCGTATTTCGCATGTGATTAGATGAAAGTGTGGCGTTATGAAATAAAGACGTTGGGACAAGTTGATTTGAACTTAGAAAAGGGTTTGAATAATGAGTTTACGTTGCGGTGAAATCCTTGTCTTCATCATTATTATCACCATCGCTGGAATCCAAAGGAACGCCTGCAATTTAAGAAATTGCACATGCACGAAAATACATAACTGGTCAGTATTTCAATGTGTTTAATTACAAACTTTCCTTATGTTACTTTGGAGCTAGTTTTTAAAATTCTTTTCATGCATAATCAGAAAACGTAGTTAACTTTACATTCAGTGACATCTTGAAAGGTACCCTTTTAACAGCACATTTCAATACAGATTGTGCGGTTCCTTTTTCAACCACCAGGTGGCGGCCAAGCGCCCAAGTCGAACTCCCGCCTCTTCCCTTGGTGTCTAAGGCAGCCTGCGTGGCTCCCGGGAGCGCGCACGTCCCGGAGCCGTGTCGACTGCAGGCGCCGTATCCGCGCTAGTTTACCAACCCCAGTTACACGGTTGCGCGTCGGCCTCAGCCGTGAGGAGCCGGACCCATGTGGAAACTGCAGCCCGCCGCGGGCCCGGCAGGAGGTAAGTGTGGAAGGGAAGCCTCGGGGTCCATTTTCCCGGTAGCAGCTGCCTCCGGAAGGGCCTATGGGCGATGCTTCCTGCTTCGCCCCCGTTCCCGCCCAAGGACGCCGCGGAAGCGGTTGCCGAAGAGGCGAGTTCGCTTTGTGGGAAGCGCGCGGTCTTCCCGGGCAGCGCGGCGGCCCGGAATTCAGCTCCGGCGGTAGGGTGATTGCACCGCCCCCTGGCGGCCGCCCTCCGCATCCCTCCCCGACTCCTCCTGCCGCCCGGCCCCACCCACCCGCGGTTGCCCGGCTCTGGCTAGACGGCCTGCGGGTGGTTGGCAGCCGGCGCCTGGTGGGTACCCCTGGCTGGAAGTTCGCACAGGCGGACCACACGGCGGCCACACATATCTTGTGAAGAACTACCGGACAGTTTGAGGAAATGGCTACCGCGAGAAAGCTTACTTTCAGTTTTGTTTCAGACTCTGTTTCCATGATGTCATCAGAACAACGGGAAAAGTCGATTTTTTTCTCTTCATTTCCAGCGGTGGGAAATGTGATCACATGTTAATTGGTTGCCCGTGGTGGGTATGAAGGGCCTTGTCCTCAGGAAGTTTACATGATTATTGTCAAAGATCTATGTAGCGACTAAATGGACAGGCAGGATAAGAGTATGGAGAGGATCAAACTAAATAAATATACTGTGAAGACTCACAGGTAAAGGCATCCCTGGAGACCTGGCTCTCCTGGATTCCCTACTTTCATCTGCCCTAATCTCCCTGCCACTCAGGTAACGAAATCCTGCTCCCAGACTAAACTCCGCATGTCTCCAATATATATAAGCTGTCACTCCAACAACTTAATGCTTTACACCAATTTTAAAAGAAACTGATAACCCTTTCCCACTGATTGGAGATGCTATCTTTAAGATAAAAACAAAATTTCAAACAATGCACATGTGCATCTGGTCTGAACTTTGTTGCATTGGTCTATGTTGTTTCCTCTTTATTTTATTTTATTTTATTTTTTAAATTTTTTTTAAAGATGGAGTTTCACCATGATGGCCAGGCTGGTCTTGAACTCCTGACCTCGGGTGATCCACCCACCTCAGCCTCCCAAAGTGCTAGGATTACAGGCGTGAGCCACCGCACCCGGCCTCTATGTTGTTTACTCTTGGTCCAATGCCATACTTTTAGATTTATGGCGTATTTTGCCATCTGGAAGGGCAAGCTCCTATAATATTATTCACATTTCTCTTGACTATCTTTTTTATAATTTCCTGATGAATTTTTGAATTCATTTATCAAGTTCTAAACATAATATTGTGATTGGTAGCTAATACATTAAGTTTTTAAGTTAATTTGAGGGAGCATTGACTCCTTTCAGCATTGCTTTTCCTTTAGAAAAAAATGATATTGCCTTCTAGCTATTTAGATAACTTTTTTTCTCTTTTTTATTATATTTTAAATTTTTTTGTTTTTACTCCTGAAACATATTTAGGTAACCTTTGCAGTGAGGCTTTACTGAAAACACAGTTTGTCATATGTAAAGTTAATTAATATTTGAATAACAAAGGTGTTTTATTTTATATTTGTCATACCTATATCATATACACTTACATGTATGTGTGTGTGTGTTCATGTGCATGTGTCTATGAACTTATCTTTTTTTTAAAAAAAATTATCTTAGGAGAACCATACAGACTTTTAACTGGCATTGAGTACGTCGTTGGAAGGAAAAACTGTGCCATTCTACTTGAAAACGATCAGTCAATCAGCCGAAATCATGCTGTGTTAACTGCTAACTTTTCTGTAACCAACCTGGTATGTTACTAATTTTATTTCACTAGCTTCCATTAAGAGGGTTGAAATCACAAAATACTCTCTTGGTGTGTATGTGAGAGAGAGTTCATAGGATGTCATTTTATAGAGCTGTGTAGACTTTTTTAATGTTTACAAAATTAAATACTTATATTTTGGCAGTGGTACCAGTGGTGATGTTTATTTTGAGATTTGAAGTTTCTATTTCAGTAATTTACTCTGTGTTTTAGTGAGTAAAAAAGTCAAAGGAAGTAGGACATAGTTATTTTTATTTGCTTACTAAACATTTATTGTTTACTATTAGGTTGGTGCGAAAGGAATTGCTATTTTTGCCATTAACTGGAATGGCAAAATTAACAGTAATGGCAAAAAACAGCAATTACTTTTATATGTGCCAGTAACTGTGCCAGGCCTGGAAACAGAACAATGAACAAACCTTCATGACTCCAGCTCTTAAAGAGGTTATGTAGCTATGTGGATACGGGCATTTCTCATAACACAAGTTTTTGCAGTGAGAATTGATTTGTTTTATTAGAGAAATGCTTTCTTATGCCCCACAGCTCTTTAATGGCTTTAAGTTTGTTTTGATCACAACTGTGGGTGATAAAAGTGCTAAAAAATATATAAATATCTGTACTCATGATAACGCTGATGGTAATAAAGAAAAACCATTATTTTAAGCAAAGATTGAATATGTGCGATCTGGATTTGTTCAGTGTTGTTTAGGTTTTGTTTCTATTCTTTTAGGTATAGAAAAACATTGTGGAAATTTCTACAGAAAAAATAAAATTATTACTGAGAAACACTAGCCTATACCCTCATATTCTCATTTGACTAATTTTTACAATGTGGTTTTGATAGTGTAAAAGCAAAAGAAAATCTAGGAATGAAATTGTCATGTTCTAAATATAACACTGCACAAAGCAAAAAATTCTCACATGTGTGTGAGGGGTCAGGAAAGTCCCCATTGACTTACATAAATAAAGAAAATGTGTGTTCTTGGAGGGCTAATCCTGGGTTAAGAAATTTCCCTAAGGGGAAATATGAATTGTTAGTTAAGTGATCTTCCTCTGAAGGCAACCAAAGCAGTAACTACTGTCTGCTGTGTTGGGTGGTTAGCCTCCTGTCTACTGTTTATTCAAAAAGATCAGCATTTTCTTTTGAAACCTTTTTCTCTGAGAAGTGAATGTACTGAGTGGTGAAAGACTTTAAATTATTTGCTAACTTTGCAGAGTCAAACAGATGAAATCCCTATATTGACATTAAAAGATAATTCTAAGTATGGTACCTTTGTTAATGAGGAAAAAATGCAGAATGGCTTTTCCCGAACTTTGAAGTCGGGGGATAGTATTACCTTTGGAGTGTTTGCAAGTAAATTCAGGTAAGAAATTTTTGAATTGATATTAAAATAGGCAGCTTTATTTCGACCAAATTCTAAAGGAAAATGATATTTCTGATTAATGAATTTAAAACAGTATGATTTACTTCCTACTTAGCACAGTATTGGACTCTGTGCCACAGGTGGTTAGTGCGTTTTGTACATCAAGGTGATGGGAGTTTGAGTGGGCCCTCAGGGACTTCATGTGAACTATATTTCTTTGATTCCTCATTGGTGAAGGTATAATGTTAACTTTTGGTCATTGTTTTTTCTTCATTGGGACTCAAGACTTAGGAACTGATAATTTTCTAGGTTATAAAGCTTAATAATAATGAAGAAATGATCATTTCATAAGTTACAAAGGGTAACAATAAATAAAAATTATGATAGTTTATGATGTGAGCTTAAAGGTTTAAAGTACTAAAAGTTGCCGACTATGATACTATAACTTTATTTAACTTATTCTCATTTACAGAATAGAGTATGAGCCTTTGGTCGCATGCTCTTCTTGTTTAGATGTCTCTGGGAAAACTGCTTTAAATCAAGCTATATTGCAACTTGGAGGACTTACTGTAAACAATTGGACAGAAGAATGCACTCACCTTGTCATGGTATCAGTTAAAGTTACCATTAAAGTAGGTCAAATGTCTTGTTCTTATGTTAAAATAAGTTCTTTGAATTTAAGCTTACCTACCATATACAGATTTTCTTTTAATTACTTTAAAACTATCAGAACTGTTAGTTGTGGATTTGTATATGCCCACTCCATGCCTTTATATACCATTTAGCCTTGAGTGGCTTTTCAAATCTGTTTATTATCTGAGACAAAGCAAAAGCACCTAAAATTATACTTCAGATTTTGTTTAGCATTTTTAAAAAGCGATTCTGTTGTCCTTCCACCAAGAAGGTTGTTATAATGCATAGTTTGTGTTTTCAGTCTAAAAACAACGCAATTAGAGGTTAACTGCCAGTCTTCAAAGTTAGCATCTCATGTCTCTTCTATCAAGTTGTCTTCCTCTAGTCTCTGATACTCTCTCATGCTCTCTTGCTATTTATTTGATTTAAGGCCCTGATCACAAAGACTTAAGTTCTTGTAGGTCAATGCTGCCTTAATGTATCTTCACAACCTAGAGATATGTACATATGTGCCTTTAGAAGATGCTGACTGTTCATTAAAACAGTAATATATTTTGATGTGTTTTCAAATTTTGCATCTTCATCAGATTTGGTTATATCCAAAGCTAAGTGAAGAATGGCATTGGGAGGTGATTCATCTCCTTTTAAACAGGTTGACTATAGATTTGTGCGATTCTTTTAGGTTAACATCTATAGTAAAAACTCACAAATATCTTTTTTAAATTCCTTTATTTAAAATCCTTTAGTATTTAATATAATTAAACTAGAATTATATTTTGTAGCTAAAGAGTTACTATGGAGAAAGGCTTGCTGTTCAGATGGAACTCAACTTGTACTTTGGTGGGATTGTCTGTGATCAAGGGCTTTATATTTTTGTGAATTTATGAAATTGATTTTATAAATCAGCAGTGTGATTATCCTCCAGAGTACTAATATATGCATACAAACGCATAGTAGGTTTAAAGATCAAAGTGTCCATTTATGATTTTCAGTAGGGATGCACCTTTATCACAATATTTAAGTGTGGGCCCTAGCACAGTCCTCTTTAAGATATTAAGGTAATTAAGAAATAGAGTAGGTAATCATCCACTTGCTTGATTGGTGTGAGATAAGATCAAAGGTAGTTAGATTGTTTTGAGAGATATTTTACTACATCTGTGACAAACCTGGACACTTGAGTGACTGGGATGCTGATGACCACCTTGTGAATCGTTCCAATACAGGCACCAACATGGTTTACAGATTAATTTGTTAAAAAAAATTCCTGATCATTTATATGCCAAAATAGAAAACCTTGTTATATTTTTTTTTTTGGTAAATTTTCTCAAAGTACAGTTAGCTCATATTTTTTAAATCATTGAATGTTAGAGCCAAAAAGAAACTTAAGATCATTTATTTTTACTATTATCTATTTTAAAAAAACAAGAACAAAAAAAGGCTTCGGTTCAACTTTTATTTTCTGAAGTGTAAACTAAGGGATGGACCAATTAATATCCCAAGTCTCATGTATTAGAGTTTATTCAATACAGAGTTGATTTTTACCTTACTGCTTCATGCTATTTTATTTCTTTCACTGTGGAAGTTGGTGTCTTTCAGCTTCCATTCTTGAAAGACTCTCTAAATCTGCTTGCCCCTTTTTAGACAATGAAATTCCCTGTGTTATTAAAAGCATATTTATGACTGGGTACAGTGGCTCACGTCTGTAATCACAGCACTTGGGGAGGCCGAGGCGAGGGGATTGCTCAAGCTCAGGAATTTGAGACTAACCTGGGCAACATAGTGAGACTCTATCTCTACAAAACAATTTTAAAATTAACTGAGTATGGTGGCGTGTTCCTGTAGTCCCAATAACTCAGGAGGCTGAGGCAGGAGGCTGAGGCAGGCCTTGCCTGAGCCCAGGAGGTTGAGGCTGTAGTGAGCCGAGCCAAAATTGCACCACTGCACTCCAGCCTGGGCAGCAGAGCGAGACCCTGTCTCAAAAAAAAAAAGAAAAAAACAAAAAAAGTCGTATTTATGTTATTCTGAATCTTATTTCCATTGCCCATTGTAGCATTTTCTAATGTTTTATCATATTTTTTGGATGTATCGTATTTGAGGCTTATAGCTTTATTCACATGAGTTTAAGTTTTTTCCCCCTTATCTGTATGTACTTATTTTGATCTTTTACCAAAAATTATTTATTTACTTTCTCAAAAAGGCTTTATTGCATAGTTATAATCTTTTTGAAAGACAGTCTAAAAATATCTTATGTTAATCTCTTAATATTGTCTTCCCTGCAGCAGATAATGGTACATTTCCTCAATCCTAAAATACATTTTTAACATTTTAATGTCTTTTAAAGTGGAATGGATTTTAAAATTCAGTCTTATTTTATGTTGTTCCACCTCTCCCAAAAGAGCAGTTTTAAAAAGTAGTATTATAATTGGTGACTTCTTTTTTTTTTTTTTTTGAGACGGAGTTTCACTCTTGTTACCCAGGCTGGAGTACAATGGCGCAATCTCGGCTCACCACAACCTCTGCCTCCTGGGTTCAGGCAATTCTCCTGCCGCAACCTCCTGAGTAGCTGGGATTACAGGCACGCACCACCATGCCCAGCTAATGTTTTGTATTTTTAGTAGAGACGGGGTTTCACCATGTTGACCAGGTTGGTCTCGATCTCTTGACCTCCTGATCCACCCACCTCGGCCTCCCAAAGTGCTGGGATTACAGGCTTGAGCCACCACACCCGGCAGAGTGACTTCTTACAATTGAGTGATTATATTGTGATTTATGTTCTAAAATGATGCAGTGACCAAATGCTGACTTCTATTTTATGGATTGTGGCTTCTTCATAAATTTTGAAAGATAAAGGAAAAACATTTTTTTGTGAATATGAACAGCCCCTTCGTAGTTTATAACTTAAAACTTTTCTTTAAAAAAATGCTACTATATGAATTTTTATATTCATATGTTTTCTTCATTTTAGACAATATGTGCACTTATTTGTGGGCGTCCAATTGTAAAGCCAGAATATTTTACTGAATTCCTGAAAGCAGTTCAGTCCAAGAAACAGCCTCCACAAATTGAAAGGTACATTATATATTTTAAATATAACAAGATGTTACTTATAATATGTTTAGCATTGACTTTTATTTAGTTTAATTCCTTCTTTAATGATTGTTTCAGGAGGTAATAGTTGCTGTGTATAGTTTAGTATTGTTAATGGAAGGTTTTTTGTTAGTATGTAAAGAAAGCGTTCCCCAAATTTCTTTGTTGGTCATTCTGTATCTCTGTGAAACAAATATTAAATAGATGCTAATATTTAAAGAAAAAAACAGAAAGATAGTAAATGGCGCTGAGGTATGTTCAAAAGAGCGCATATATCAGTTCTGGGCATCATGCCACAGTTCGCTCTGGAATTGTGTGGTGCAACAACCCTCTTTGGGAGCTACATAGTGCAGAATATTAACAGCATAGTAGCCTTGGGAATGGACCTCAGTTATTAAGAGCTCCAGTTATCCCATTTCACAATTAAGACTAATACTTTCAGCTGAGTTATTTTAAGCATTAGGGTTTCAGTCATGTGTTGCTTAACAACAGGAATACATTCTTACTGATGTGTTCTTAGGCGATTTCATTATTGTGCTAACATAATAGGGTATACTTACACAAACCTAGATGGTAGAGCCTACTACATACCCAGGTTATATGGAATAAGCCTATTGCTCCTAGGCTGCAAACCTGTACACATGTTACTGCCCTGAATACTATAGGCAGTTGCAACACAGTGGTAAGTATTTATGTATCTAAGCATATATGAACATAGAAAAGGTACAGTAAAAATGTAGTATCATAATCTTATGGGGCCATTGTTGTATATATGATCCATTTTCGACTGAAATGTCATTATGCGGTACATGACTATATATAGTCTGAGCATATTGCCTGGTATCATAATAAGTGCTTGTTAAAATAAATGTTTGTTGTTGCTAATTGCAACAATATCTGGGAAGCTTCATAATAGCTTTATTATTTTGTTTTACTTTTCTTTGATGCCTTACCAAATTTGTGAACCACCAGGCTAGATCTATCTACTGTATGCATTGTGTTAGTGATGCTTTGAAGTAATACATATTAGGGCTGAGGAGAGAGATACTTGGAAGTGTTTTTTTCAGATTGCATGGTTAAAATGATTGGGACTGTAAAATGGTAGATGGTTTTAGTCAGTGTAGTAGCATAAGAACTTCCTTACCTAAAGTACCTATTATATGACATAATAGATGGACTGTGTATTTCCAGTCATCTTGTTTCACATATAATTCAGACACCTTGTCTCTATAGGAAAACTTGAATATTTCAGGAAATTTTAAAAATTAAAATGTTAGATTCAACTCAAAATCACTATGAGATACCATCTCATGCCACTTAGAATGGCGATCATTAGAGAGTCAAGAAACAACAGATGCTGGCAAGACTGTGGAGAAATAAGAACACTCTTACAGTGTTGGTGGGAGTGTAAATTAGTTCAACCATTGTGGAAGACAGTGTGGTGATTCCTCAAGGATCTAGAACCAGAAATATCAATTGACCCAGCAATCCCATTACTAGGTCCATACCCAAAGGATTATAAATCATTCTATAAAGACACATGCGCACGTGTGTTTATTGCAGCGCTATTCACAATAGCAAAGTCTTGGAACCAACTCAGATAGATGCCCATTCAATGATAGATTGGATAAAGAAAATGTGGCACATATACACCATGGAATACTATGCAGCCATAAAAAAGAATGAGTTCATGTCCTTTGCAGGGACATGGATGAAGCTATAAACCATCATTCTCAGCAAACTAACACAGGAACAGAAAATCAAACACTGCATGTTCTCACTCATAAGTGGGAGTTGAACAGGGAGAACACATGGACACAGAGAGGGAAACATCACACACTGGGGCCTGGGAGGTGGAGGACAAGGGGAGGGAGAGCATTAGGACAAACACCTAATGTATGTGGGGCTTAAAACCTAGATGATGGGTTGATAGGACGGGTTGATAGGTGCAGCATAAAAATTTGCTGAATAGGCCAAGAATGTAAGGCCTTACCCGCCTTTACGCAGACCATTTCTCAAGGGTATGCTTGCAGTGAGAAACCTTGTGGGATGAAGTAATATTTCCTTCCTGTGACAAAATGTAGGCTTACTTATAGCTTGCAGTAAAACCTGTGGTTTCCCACGTTCATTGTTCCTCTCTCCTGTAACACACACCACTGTATGTACCTTCCACTTTATGTACCCTCTACATCTTCCCTATAGGACCTAGTCAGAGAAGAGACGTGTAGCCAACATGCTGGGGCTCATGCTACTGGCTTTGCTGTGACTCAGGAGTGTTTGTCTTCTGCTGGCATCCATGAAACAGGAGCAGGTTTACTTATCAGCTGGTAATTAAATCTCAGACTCAAAAGACACATTGGCCTGAAATAATCTCAGTAAATGAAAGTTTGACAGTTCAGGAAGCTTATAGAGGCTATATTATATACATAATTCAAATCAAAGACAAAGAAATTGAACTAGTATTAGTAATTATTTTCTGGAGGTAGAATCCCACATTTGCAAGTTGTAGATGTCACTGTAGTCTAGCCATTTAGAGATCAAAAACAAAACAAAACAAAATGCAGTGCAGTAAATGGTTCTAGAAATTATAAACATATTCCTGCAAGACTAATGAAGTAAACGGCTGTCCAGATATTGGACAGATAAATATATGTGGCTTGGGATACAGTTTCTAGGACCAGAATTATACATAGATTCAGAAAAATTCTGTAATTGGCAAAATCTTGGTACAGAAGTAAAGATGATGTCCTATAGTTTAGATGAAATTTATTGAAGATCATGTAAAGAATTTAGAAAATGTGAATGGGGAAAAGCAAAATTTCTAGATATCATTTTATAGAATATATGATTAATAATGTGTACTAGGTACTTTAATAAAACATAACTAAATGTAGCTCTTGAAGTTTCTATATAAATGAGCCTAAAACACTTTGATTTCTTAATGATAGAAATTGGAGATGATTTTACATTTGTAGTATCGTTATATTCAGTCAATATGCCTCTAGCCTAGGACTCTGACAGGTTACTTTCTCCCTATTTTCTAGTTTTTATACTAGCTTATTAAATTACTTGAATGTCAGAAATGCTTTAAAACTTCTAGAATGCAATGCTTCAGAAATAATAATAATAATAATAATAATTATTATTATTTTTTAAGATGGGGTTTCACCATGATGGCCAGGCTGGTCGTGAACTCTTGACCTCAGGTGATCCACCCAAAATGCTAGGATTACAGGTGTGAGCCACCATGCCCAGCCAGAAATAATTATTTTTAATGATCTCTTCACATTCATCACTAGTCTCTTCTTTCTTGTTCTCATCATTACACTGGTAAAGAGAAAAAGGCTATGTAGGTATTTGAACTTCCAGAACATAATGTTTTTATCACTGTATTATCACTTATCTATGTATGAATGTGTATATCATATATCAAATATACAAATGAATGTATCTATCATATATCAAACTAAGAAGAACCAGTGTTGGAGTTACAGCATTTGGTTAGATTCTAGATAATACAGTGTTGTATATTTTTGTTCAAGATTGCTCTTATCAAGTATTGGGGCTCAAAATATCAGTGTTCTCAAAAGAAAACCAAGATACTTCGTTCCAATTCTAGATTTTTAATATTCAAATCTATACTGAGGGAATTGAGGGGTGTTTATACTTTTTATTCACTTTTAAATTATTACGTGGAATTTTTATTTGTATTTTGTAATATCAATTTATTTCTAAATATCTATTGAACACCTACTGTGAAGTAGGCAAGGTAGACTTGAGGATGTAATGATAAGCCAAAACAAGTTACAGTTCTTCCCTTATGGCACTTAGTAAGGAGCCAGCCGTTAAGGAATCACACTAATAAAGTTAGGACTTTGGTAGAACCATTAGAGAGGCCTAATAGCTACCATACGCATATGTTTAGGAACCTGGCTCAAACTTCATTAAACTAAGCTACAGTTAGCTGCTCCCTAGCTACTGTAAACTGTTATCTGTGGCATAATTAAGAATGACAGTGTGAATAATATAAAGCTGTAGATCATTTAAAAATCATTCAGCTTTAGTGTTTTGGGAAAGCAGGAAGAATCTCACATCTACTCAGTCATAGATATGTGTTAAACATTTACTTACTGTTTTCGTCTGTGACTGGCTCTGTAATCTGTCCTAGGGTTGTTATATTATTGTATGGACTAATAGATAAACTAGTTATTTGTATAAATGAAGTGCTAGTTGACTTTTACACTACAAAACAAATGTAAGATGGGGGAGAATATTTGTTAAGTGATAAAGGATAGTCGGGCGCGGTGGTTCACCCCTGTAATCCTAGCACTTTGGGAGGCCAAGGTGGGTGGATCACCTGAGGTCAGGAGTTCAAGAGCAGCCTGGCCATCATGGTGAAACCCCATTTAAAAAAAAAAAAAAAGAGAGATAAAGGATAAAAGGGATTCAGAGAGATATTAAAAATTGATCTACCCCCTCCTTTTTTTGAGGCAGAGTCTCGCTCTGTCACCCACGCTGTGTCTCTCTGTTGCCCAGTGCAGTGATGTGATCTCGGCTCACTGCACCCTCCACCTGCTGGATTCAAGTGATTCTCCTGCTGTAGCCTCCTGATTAGCTGGAAATACAGGCACGTGCCACCATGCCCTGCCAATTTTTTTGTAAAAATTGATCCTTTTTATGTGTCCAAATGTCTACTAACTTTCCAGTGCTTTTATTGTAGATTTAGTTTTCATTAACAGTTAAAATAGTTTCTACTGTTCTCTGTATATTTTAAAAGATTTTTAAAGTAAATAGAATTTTAGAGTTGGGTATTTAGAAAAACCAGAATTACCGTAGTGGCCAGCATTTTGTCCTGTCACGTGAGTCTGCTCATGCCTGCAGATAATTTGAAATTGCAGCTTCCAGAAATCATTACTTTAATACAGATTTACAGTATCCGTTGTGAATTAAAATACGTGTATCAGTTATCAAAAAAAAATTTAAAGTAATATAACTGTTCAATCATAATTCAGCTTTACTTTATGAAATATGTATATTTCCAAGGAGAAATCCAGGGGAAAGATGTAAAGAAATTGGTTCTAAAGTGCTGGATGGTTAATGACTGAAGTGTTTTTACTATACTAGATGTTGATCTCTGCAGTTAGTTAACTCTTGATTTGTGACTGATTGTCCAGGTTCTGAATTTCTCCCTCCCTGCATTGTCCCCTTACCATCATTGTCATAGTTTAGTAATTTTTACTGAAAGGAAGAGACACAACCTGAAATGCATGCTGGTCAGTTATGACCAGCTGGAGCAAAAGATCTGATTATACAGGAAGTTGTAATACTGGACTGAGAGAGGCTTAAGAATTATCTGTTGTAATTCTGTTTTCTTATTTTCCTTTATTTTGATGGTACGATTAAGGTGTTCTTACAGCATTATATTAGAGCTAAAACATTGTATTCTTTAATCTTGTTTTGAAAATTTTATTTAAACTGAGTAAATAATGTAAGTTTAAAAATTTCCTGAACTCCAAAGAGATCTATAACAAAACACTCATAATAGATTGTGTTAGTAAAATTGAATCATGAGCATTTTAAAAGACACTGGCTTCTAAGCAAACATAAGATACTAATAGAATTTGATCTTTATGGATGATGTTTCTGTCCGTCTTTTGTAATCCAGATACCTTGTTTGACTCATGTATGTTTAATGTTCATCTTGTTATGATTGTCTACCTTGGATTATTTATTTTAAGATATTAATGATCAATTCTAGCTTTTCTTTGTGTCACCTGCCACCATATTTCTAGAAAAGGTGTTTAGATGCTTCCTGTCATTTTGTCCCTGATAAAACTTTTACTTAAAAAAAAAATACTATAATGGTATTATGGAAATTATGCCTTTTGAGTGTAAGATAGCCACTCCATTTAAAAATTTAATAGCAAACATAGTAGTATATAATTAGAATATACTTTAATTATTTTTACAGTTTTTACCCACCTCTTGATGAACCATCTATTGGGAGTAAAAATGTTGATCTGTCAGGACGACAGGAAAGAAAACAAATCTTCAAAGGGAAAACATTTATATTTTTGAATGCCAAACAGGTAATTATAAGCTAAATTTTCCTAAAGAATACATTGCAAACTAGGTTACATTATTAACTCTTATTAATAGTTGTTAATATATTTCATTTTGGGATTTTGTATAGAAGTGTGAGGTAGAATAAAAAACTGCCCAGGTGCCAGTCCTGCCTAGTGATCATGGCTGTGATTACAGTGTTTCTTAAAATCTTCTGTGGTAACTGGTAACTGGTCTATTCATAAATACACAAATGAGAAGGACAGGAAACTTAGTTTTAACTTAGTAAGCTGTTGTTTAACTTCTTTAGTTTACTTCCTTATTTAGTAATCTGTTGAATTGAAATCTGTTCAAAGAAGTGAGCTGTTGAAAGAAGCAAGTTTAACTTCTGTAGTTAGTAATCTGTCGAATATGTTCTGTGTGCCAAAATGGGGCTTCCGAGAGTTTATGTTGTAGCAGAAAAATGCAGATAAGCCCACAGTTAGAGTTCTGTTAGGAAGTGTGATGAGGAACCACAGAGAGTGTAACAGTTCCAGGGCTGCAGAGACTTTTTGAACTAGGGACTTTCTCAAAGTAGAAGCTGAAATTACCTACCCAAGAAGTAGAACCAAGTCTTCTTGAATTGTACTTCTATATTTCCCAAATCAAATTCTTATAAGAATGTTCAAGAAATTAATTATTACATTTACTTTTAAAAATGTTTCTTTCCTACTTCCCTTAGGAGGCCATAAAAAAAAGTGTTTCTTTCTATTTTTAGCATAAGAAATTGAGTTCTGCAGTTGTCCTTGGAGGTGGGAAAGCTAGGTTGATAACAGAAGAAAATGAAGAAGAACATAATGTCTTTTTGGCTCCAGGAACTTGTGTTGTTGATATAGGAATAACAAACTCACAGATCTTAATTCCTGATTCTCAGAAGAAATGGATTCAGTCAATAATGGACATACTCCAAAGGTATAGAGTTATTCTTTATTAATAAAATAAATGCAAGTAGGATTTTATGTTTAACTTTATTATTGTTCTTCACCTAACAACATAAAAGTAGATACAAGAATTGTTTTTATTTTCTTATTTTTATTTTTATTTTTTTTGAGACAGGGTCTTGCTCTGTTGCCCACGCTGGAGTGCAGTGGCACAGTCTTGGCTCACTGCAGCCTCTCTCCTCACAGAATGGTAGTGCACACCTGCAGTCCCAGCTACTAGGGAGACTGAGGCAGAGGATCACTTGTGACCCAGAGGATAGCTGGGACTACAGGTGTGCACCACCACACCCGGCTAATTTTTGTATTTTTAGTAGAGACGGGGTTTCACCATGTTGGCCAGGTGGGTGTCAAACTCCTGGCCTCAGGTGATCCACCTGCCTTGGCCTCCTAAAGTGCTGGAATTACAGGCATGAGCCACTATGCCCGCCCGATACAAGAATTAATAAAAGGTTTTATGGTATAGTGTATTTAAAAATTAAGTGTGACTTGGTATGTTAGACGTAGAATATCTTTATTCATGACAATTTTACTCAAAATATTTTATGCTTTTTTGTTACTTTAATAGGATTTGTAGAGTTTATCTTATCTCTGTAAATTAACAAAGTAGTGTTTTTTTACAGAACGTGTTGCAGTTGAGAAAGTTAAAACTCGAAGAAATGGTTTTCTGCAGTTGCCTAGAGTTGAAACGTATTTGCCCTTTGATGATTATTATCCATTAAAAAGACATATAAAAATGTCTATCCTTATTTAGGCTATTATGGGAAACCAGAAAAAAGTCAGAGAGGTTGAAATGATATTTGAAGTGTGGAGGGAGACTGTGAAAGAGCCGATTGAAGGATTTGTTTTTTTAGACCTTCATTGGCATTAATAACCTTAGCATTACTGAAGCCAGGAAGTATTGTGGAAATATCACGCTTGGCAGTCTTCTGACTAAATTGCTCTTCAAGTAGCAAAAAGTAGGTGAGGCTTAAAGTATTTGTATGCCTGAAAGGTCCATCCAGCTCCTGCAAAAGATTCACTTTTCCTGTCCCAGAAGTTCCTTCTGACCATGGGGATGTTCTTTGTTTTTGGTTTTGGTTTTTTCTTATGGGTTTGCTGAAATAAAAAGTAAAATTTTAGTCATTTGTCCTTTAAATATTTTCCTTTGAGATATATTAACTACTGTAAAAGAGAAAATACAGTGTATAACAAAAATACTGTCTTACTACTAAAGCACAAATTTACTGTAGTTCCATTGTGTTTTAGGCACTGGAAATACAGTGGAAAGCAAGATAGTCATGGTCCCTGCCATCACTGGAGCTTACTGTCTAGAGGGAGAGACAGAGAAAGACCCAAGTAAATAGATCATTACATATGTATATAAAGGAAGCAGTAACCTTCTTCTAAATAGAGAAGGCCTCTTTCAGGCAATGTCTTACCTATGACCAGTCTTCAAAGAGCCAGACAAAGAATGTGCCAGGTAGAGCAACAGCAGTAATACATATTTTAAAAAATAAACAACAAAAAAACCAAACGTTATCCTACATAGCATGTCCTGGCCTAAGAATTTATGTATGTAAAAACATTTAATCCTCATCCTCATGTGTTACTTACTGTTGTGGTCCTCTCTGTGCAGATGAGGGAACTGAGGCAGAAGGGAGATTGCATAGAACAGAGGGAGAGAGCAAGGCGGCCAGAAAGTGAGCCTAGGCAATCTGATTCTTGAGTCCAAGCTTGTCACTTTCAGCATATATAGACATTCTGAGGTAAAAAAAAAAAAAAAAAAAGCAGTAGCTGGAATACAAGGTAACTCAGATGCTGGTGCCTTGATCATGAGGTGACCCTTGGCCCCTGTTACAATATGGGTTTTTGGGGGGTTTTTTTGAGACAGGCTTTTACTCCCTTACCCATGCTGGAGTGCAGTGGTGTGAACTCGGTTCACTGCAGCCTCCACCTCCCAGGCTTAAGCAATTCTCCTGCCTCAGCCTCCCAAGTACCTGGGACTGTAGGCACATGCCACCACACTGCTGCTAATTTCTTTATTTCTTGTAGAGATGGGGTTTTGCCATGTTGCTCAGGCTGGTCTTGAGCTCCTGAGCTCAAGTGATCCTCCTGCCTCAGCCTCCCAAAGTGCTGGCATTACAGGTGTGAACCACTGCACCTGGCCATAATATGTTTTTTGGAGGGAATGCAGTATTATATTTTGAGAAAGACTGTCACTTAAATAATACCTGTTAACTTAGTTCAAGCCAATGAAAGAGCAATTATATGAAGGAGAGTGGCCAGAAAAGCCAGCTCTTGACTGAACTTCAGGTCAACATTATGATTGGTGACTGTCATGCTGTATTGATTAGATGTCAGAAGTGAATATAGGAAATCAGTGCTAAAGATTAAGTGTCTTCTGGAGAAGATTAGAAGTCCAAGGGAACAATACAACCCGGATTTTTGTTCTCACTGAGATATTTTTCCAGTATCTCAGCTCAAATTTTGGTAACTCTTCCTTTTATTAATTTAAATATTTCATCTTTATTATCTCCTGGCTTTTTCTTCTCTCCTGACCTGTTTCCTAGCCTTGCACAGAATTGGATGAATGATAATCCTCGGTTGGTGACATGCTCATCATTGATCCATACATAATACATGTTGATTTTGTTCACCGATTATTAAATTAGTTATTTTTCAGAGAGTAAGTGTCCGAAAAATCTGTCATCTAAAATACCAGCCAGATCTTTGAAAATAACTTACATGGTTACCCCCTAGCCCAGTCTTCTGTGTAAAATAACTATCATCCTGAATCCAGTTTACAGTTGTGGGTGGCCAGACCCTATTCAGCATCTCAGGGTACAAGGTGGGTACCAGCCTTGTATAGGACACTATTTCTTTTTTATTTATTTATTTATTTTTTTTGAGATGAAGTTTCACTCTTGTTACCCAGGCTGGAGTGCAATGGCGCAATCTCGGCTCACGGCAATCTCTGCCTCCTGGGTTCAGGTAATTCTCCTGCTTCAGCCTCCTGAGTATCTGGCATTGCCCAGCTGATTTTTTGTATTTTTAGTAGAGACAGGGTTTCACCATGTCACCAGGATGGTCTCAATCTGTTGACCTTGTGATCCACCCGCCTCGGCCTCCCAAAGTGCTGGGATTATAGGCGTGAGCCACCGCGCCCGGCCCAGGACACTGTTTCATTGCAGGGCACACTCACACACCCACCGACACTCACTCAGACTGGGACAATTTGGACACACCATTTCACCTAATGCACACCACTTTGGAATGTGGTAGTAAAGCAGAGTACACACGGAAAACCCACAGAGACACTGAGGAGAGTGCAAACTCCACACAGACAGTGGCCCTGACTAGGAATCAGTTTTTTCTTGCCAACGTTGTAATGAAATGACATTGAATGAAATGACATTATTCAAGGACTTGCTGTATAGTAAAAGTTAATATTTTATGTTTTAATCAGTGCTTTAAAGATACTCACCCATGTTTTTTACCTGTCTTTTGATACCATCTTTTGTTCTTGACATTTGTTTTAAACTTATCTGGAATTTTTTTTTTTTTTTTTTTGAGATGGAGTTTCACTCTTGTTGCCCAGGCTGGAGTGCAGTGGCATGATCTTGGCTCACTGCAACCTCCGCCTCTCTGGTTCAAGCGAGTCTCCTGCCTCAGCCTCCCAAGTAGCTGGGATTACAAGCACCCACCACCACGCCTCGCTAATTTTTGTATTTTTAGTAGAGACGGGTTTTCATCACATTGGCCCACCTTATCTCGAACTCCTGACTTCAGGTGATCCGCCCGCCTTGGCCTCCCAAAGGTCTGGGATTACAGTCATGAGCCAGGAGTTCTGTTTTATAGCAAGGTTCCATACATGCACTGCTGTGTTTTTTACTTTATCCTTTTTCATTCATCAGTCTGCCTTTCTTTATACCAGTACCACATTGTCTTAATTGGTATAACTTCCATGAAGTCCTCCTAGCTGGTAGAACAAGTCTCTTGCTCTAATTTGGAAGCTCCTGGCTATTCTTGGCCCTTTATTTTTTCATATATGTTTAGAATCATCTTTTGTAAAAGCTTGTTTGGATTTTGATTAGGAAATGTGTTGAATCTACAAGTCAACTTGAAAATTAACAATTTATGTAAATTTTAATTGTTTTTATCCTTGAATGTGGTGTCTCCATTTATTTAGGTTTTCTTGAAGTCTCTTAATAGAATTTCATACTGTGTGTATAGAGATCTTGAATATCTTATTGGATTTATTCCTAGCTAGTATATATTTTCTGATATTATTATAAGTGAATGATATTATCACTTTACATTTTCTAGATCACTACTAATGTAAAGAAATTCAGCTGACATTTAGATATTCATCTTATATCTAGCCATCTTGCCAGACTCCTCTTTTTTCCTAATAATTTATCTATAGTCTTTTCTATAAATCATATCATCTATAAGGAATATTTCTATCCTCCTTTCTAATCTTTATTTCTCTGATACCTCTTTTTTTTTGTCTCTTTGTTTCATCCCAACTGGGACCTCCAGAGCAGTGTTGAATAGAAGTGGTGATAGTGGCCACATTTATCTCACTGTTGACTTTAAAATAAATGTTCCCAGTGTTTATCCATTAAGGATGATGTAATTTCTTTTTTTTTTTTTTTTTTTTCTCGAGATGGAGTTTCGCTCTTGTTAGCCAGGCTGGAGTGCAATGGCGCGATCTCGGTCACCGCAACCTCCGCCTCCTGGGTTCAGGCAATTCTCCTGCCTCAGCCTCCTGAGTAGCTGGGATTACAGGCACGCACCACCATGCCCAGCTAATTTTTTCTATTTTTAGTAGAGACGGGGTTTCACCATGTTGACCAGGATGGTCTTGATCTCTTGACCTCGTGATCCACCCGCCTCGGCCTCCCAAAGTGCTGGGATTACAGGCTTGAGCCACCGCGCCCGGCAGGATGATGTAATTTCTGTATTATTGAATATATATTAAAACATTTCTATTTTATGTAGCCATTCTTTATAACTAATTCACATAGGATAATTTGTAGTTGTAAAAGTTAGTAGAATAGTAAATTACCAGTTTTGAATTGCCTGAATTATAGGTAGGTGTATGTGATCAATTGATTATAATGCTTTTTAAAATTTTATTTTTTTAGTCTGATACTTTAATTGTATAATAACTGAATCCTATTTAAGTAAACTCAAAACACACAAAAAGACACATTAAGCATTTGAAAAAGACCTTACAAACTGGCCATTTAAAATATCTTGGCTGAACAAAGTGGTTCACACCTATAACCCCAACACTTTGAGAGGCCAAGGAAGGCGATCACTTGAGGCCAGGAGTTCAAGACCAGCCTGATCAACATAGGGAAACTCTGTCTCTACTAAAAATACAAAAATCAGCTGGGTGTGGTGATGCATGCCTGTGGTGCCAACTACTTGGGTCACTGAGGGCACAATAATTACTTGAACCTGGGAGGCAGAGGTTGCAGTGAGCCATGATTGTGCCACCACACTCCAGCCTGGGTGAAAGAGTGAGACTCTGTCTAAAAAAAAAAAAACTGTATTAAAAGACATTTTGTAGCTCTTTGTTAAACTTTGAGATGTAATTTTTATATGATATTCAATTGTATGTTTTTGTTGTTATAAAACCAGTCATTGATGTTACAGAACAACAAAAAATACGTTCATCAGAAGATTCCTTTAATATAAAAATACCTTAATACATGTAAATTTGGCAAAATGATTTGATTTACTAAAAGTTGTAACGCTTATATACATATACCTTAGATATGGTTCTGCCTACTTCTCTCTGTCCTTCCTCTTTCTCTTTTTTTTTCCTCCCTTTGAAGTTTCATCTTAGGATCATAGTATCCGTAGATTTGTTTATAAAAGCCTGTTGTGTTTTTTTTTTTTTTAATTTTTTTTTTTTCAGATGGAGTCTTGCTCTTTCATCCAGGCTGGAGTGCAGTGACGTGATCTCAGCTCACTGCAGCCTCCACCTTGCAAATTCAAGCGATTCTCCTGCCTCAGCCTTTTGAGTAGCTGGGTTTACAAGCATGTACCACCATACCCAGCTAATTTTTGTATTTGTAGTAGAGATGAGGTTTTACCACCTTGGCCAGGCTGGTCTCAAACTCCTGACCTCAAGTGATCCACTCACCTTGGTCTCCCAAAGTTTTGGGATTACAGGTGTGAACTACCGTGTCTGGCCATAAAAGCCTGTTTTATTTTTTAACTTGGCTAGTATTGTTTTCTTTTTATTCTCAAAATTACAGAATTTTAGAACTCGGAAGCTCTATATCCTTTAGTCTGGCCCCTTGTTTTACAGATGAAGTTAATGGAGTTACTAAAAGATGGTGGACTTGTCAACCTAACAGTGTCCTAGCGAGTAAGCTGTTATAGTCCTCTGCATTTGAAATTCTGTCCATACCATAAAATTATTTGGGAAAGAAAAAAGGTTGCTTTATCTTGACATCATCTTAATAAATGTTGCTAGTTTTCATATATTGTCATACTTAAACTATTTTATTCTACTAGGCAAGGCCTTAGACCTATTCCTGAAGCAGAAATTGGATTGGCGGTTATTTTCATGACTACAAAGAATTACTGTGATCCTCAGGGCCATCCCAGTACAGGTAATTAAAGCATTATTTTATTGATTCATTAGCAACTTTATTATGTAAATTGATAAGCTAAATATATATTACTCATGCGTGCTAGGGGTGACCACATTTGCCATCATTTAAAATTCATCCATTTATACTTTCACGCATTTATTCACTCCGTATTTGTGGCTGCCATGTAGCGGACACCATTATGAAGTGGTAAATACCATAAGATCCTTATTATTGTGAACTTTATGTTCTGAAGATCAGGATTTAGTAAACAAGCAAACAAACAAACATACATGGTAAGTTCAGACCGAGCCAAGTATAAAGACAGGTAAAACAAGGTGATGTAATAGTGATGATAGTAGGCTGTTTTAGATAGGCATTCAAGGAAGGTCTCAGGAGGTGACATTTGAGCCATGTGTCCTGAATGATGAGAAAAGGCAGCTGTGTGAGGATCTGGGTGGTGGATAATTCCAGGTAGGAGAAACAGATACTTAGTTTGTGTGGAGAATTCTAAGGGTTGACAATGGAAGAGGAAATATGAATAGAATGCTATTGTGGAAGTCTAGATGCAAAAGAGCCTGTGCCTTGGACCAGCATGATGGTAGTAGGGATGCAGAAAAATGAACAGATTCAGAATATATATTAAAACTAGACCTGGTGGGACTTTCCTGTGGAGGAGTTAGAAATGACTCCTAATTTTTATGCCGGGGTGGATGGTGGTGCCATTTACTGAGATGAAGAATGTGCATTATAATCATCTCAGTGTTAATCACTTTCACTCAGTGAAAGCCAATGTATTCAGAGACAGTCACTATTTCCCCTTTATTATTTAAAACACATTTCCATGGTTTTAAAATATTTTTTTAAATAAGCTGTTATAAAAATAGGTTCTTTATTTTCTTCTTGCTTTTTTACTTTGGAGATTTTTACATTCTCTCTACTAACTTTTCTCTAATTTGCCTAGCTCTCAGAACATCCATTCTGTATTCCTGTATATATATTTATTTGCTTCCTAGATTTGTTCTGTAGTTATTTCATAGGCAGCTATTGAACTTTGGCTAAAAGTGGCAAGTTAGAGAATAGCACCACCTCTTTGCACACTCCGGGGAGTGTCATTCACACTGTAGTCCATTGAGTGGCAACTATGGAGTCAGTCAGTGTATATCTTGAGTGCTCTGCAACCTTGGTTTAAACAAGTAAGGAATGTACCAAGCTAAATTTTGGTAGCAGTTAACCATTAGAGCCTAATGACCAGGAAGCTATTAGATATGTAGATCATTAGTAACCATGAATCGTAGTAATAACTGCTGTCTCTGGAGTGTGCAGAGACTAGAGTAAGTGCTTGTGTACATCATCAAACTAATCTTGCAGAACAATCCTTTTAAGATAGAGGGAAGGGCATCATCTACTTTTCGTAGATAAAGGAGCTCACAGAAAGGTTAGGAAATTAGCTGGAGGTCACATAGCAAGTAATTGGTTCAAACGGAGTCTTAAAGCTGTTATAACATTATTACATTGCAGTACAAATGGCTTTTATTTTAATGTGTGATGTTTTGAGAAATGATGATGTAGGAATGACTGGGAGCTGATGCAAAAGGATAGATATCTGATAAAATTTGACAGGCTAGTATTTTATTATTTGGATAAGAATGTTGATTCAACTGACATCTCTACCCTCTCCCGTTGAGTATACTAGACAAGTTTTTGTCTGTACGTAGGTAACCTTCAAATACACATAGTTCTAAGTGCTTGTGAAGTTTTAAATATATCCAAATAACTTATTTTGGTAGAATTGTGATATGATGAATGTTTTCACCAAATTCCCAGAATTCACCCATGAAGTGAAAAGCTAAAGGCCAACTCTTCAGGCTCTTGGCAAGAGAACTTTTTTAATGTGGACACCAAAGAGAGCCATATTTTTAGAGAAGCCACTCCTCCCTTGTCTACTAGAAACATGCACAACTTTTAGAACTAACAGGTGCTGTAGATATTATTTTCCTGATAGATTCCTGTTCTGTTACAGAAAAAAGACTAGTATCAATAATTTTAGACTATAACAATAAATATATAAAAATGGTGATTAGGTCTAAGTCAGTAGCACCCCTTGACTCAGCACCCATTGGGGGTAACTGTCCTGTGTTTCTCTGTTTAGAAAATGAATTTTCAACTAGATACGTGCTTCAGAATCCATTTTTAATACAAATTTACATTCTCCATGATTCAGGACATTCTGAGATGCATCCTAGGCATCTGAGGTTTTTGGTTTGTATTGTTTGATTTTTAAGATTCTGTTTCCTAAACAAACTCCAGAAACCACTAAATTAGAATATCTTGGGAAGAACTGAACTAGAGAGGAGTCGTCTTTTATATAAAAGGAAGGAGCACTCAGACTGTAAACTTTGGTCATTTTTCATCCTTCCTTTTCCATTTTATCACCAAGACCTGAAATTCTCACTGTACAGCTTCTGCTTAAGAGGTCTGTGACTGTCCCCTTCTCACAGCCAGTGCCCTGTTTGAACCCTCTGTATCCTTTTCTCTGGAGAGCTGGTTTATTAATAATTGCCCTAGTAATGGCCCTTACTCCAAGTTCATCTCTACAGCTAATATTTCACTATGCAACTATTAACTTACCTTCTCTTTTCTCAAAAAGTTTTACTGGCTCTTATTAACCACAGAATAAACCTCATCTAGAAAAGTCAGATAACTTGACACCGGTCTCCCAGCTAGTCATAAGTGAATTTTGTTTATTGCTTTTTTGTTGTTGTTTTTTGAAATAGGGTCTTAGGCTGAAGTGCCATGGCATGATAACGGCTCACTCCAGCCTTGACATCCTGGCCTCAAGTTATCCTCCCACTTTAGCCTCCCAAGTAGCTTGGACCACAAGTGTGTGTGCCATCATGCCTGGCAAGTTTTTGCTGTTGTTGTTGTTTTGTTTGTTTGTTTGTTTGTAGAGACAGAGTTTCCCAGTGTTGCCCAGGCTAGTCTCAAACTCCGGGGTTCAAGTGATCCTCCTGCCTCGGTCTCCCAAAGTGCTGCAGTTACAGGCGTGAATCACTGCAGCTGGCTTGAATTGTTAATAGAGTGATATGCATGGTAGTACAGAAGCAGAATTGGGGAGCACTTAATTCATTGTGGGAGGCCCAAAAGTATTCGAGAAGAGTGGCACTTGCACTAAGTTGCTCTTCTGGTAAATAAAAAGATGAGGTAATCATGATGGTTTTTTGGAGTAGCCTAAAAGTTTATGTCTAAGATGGTTTTACATGATTTGTTTCAAATAATGTATTCCTTATGAAAATAAAACTCATATTGATTCTGATTTGTGTAGATGGTAGGGTGTGTATACTTTCCATGGGGGAATAAATGTAATTTTTTTGGCCCACTAACTTAACACATAATTTGAATTAGAATCTGCTTATTTTATTTTTCTTTAAGTTGATAATACTTCAGCACAAAGGATTAGAAGTAGCTTTAAAATGATTTGGTTTAGATAAGGCTGTCATAGATGCCAGCAGGCTGCTTATAGACTGTTTTGTGTTTGTTGGTGGCACTCGTTGGAGACAACCATGTGCAGTATTCGCTAGCTAATCGCCTCAGCATGGCGTAGACTAACAATTTTCAGTGACCAAATGTCCATCTTATGTCTAGCAGTTGTGATTTTTTTTTTTCTACTTGTGTGATTTACAGGATTAAAGACAACTACTCCAGGACCAAGCCTTTCACAAGGCTTGTCATTTGATGAAAAACTAATGCCAACCGCCCCAGTGAACACTACAACATATGTGGCTGATACAGAATCAGAGCAAGCAGATACCTGGTAAAGCTTCTTCGTTATAAATTAATAGTATATTCAGGAAGTATTTATCAGGTTGTCTCTTGAGGGATACAGCATGGGGGAGTGGGATGCCAGGGAAAATGATATCTTAGGACAGGGATCAGCAGGTTTTCTGTAAAGGAGCAGAGAGTAGTTATTTTCGCCTTAGAGGACTGTTGATCTCTGTCCTAGCTCCTCAACTCTGCCATTGTAGCATGAAAGCAGCCATAGACAATATGTAGTCATTGTCAAGAGACAACACGTAGTGGGCTTAAAGACAATGATACTTTCAAAGAAATGCCTCCTTACACAATTTCGGCATTGTGTGAACATCAAACAGTGTGTTGACACAAACCTACGTGGTATAGTGTACTATATGCCTAGGCTATATAGTATAGCCCAGGGGTCCCTAACCCCCTAGCCACGGTGTCATGGCCTGTTAGGCACCAGGTGACACAGCAGGTGATCAGCGGGCAAGCTAGCAGAACTTCATCTGTATTTACAGCTGTTCCCCATCACTCGCATTACCACCTGAGCTCCACCTCCTGTCAGATCAGCAGCAGCATTAGATTCTCATAGGAGCAAAAACCCTATTGTGAACTCGGCACGTGAGGGATCTAGGTTGTGTGCTTCTTAGGAAAATCTAATGCCTGATGATTCGTCACTATGTCTCCCATCACCCCCAGTTAGGAGTGTCTAAGTTGCAGGAAAACAAGCTTAAGGCTCTCACTGATTCTACATTATAGTCAGGAGTATAATTATTTCATTATATATTACACTGTAATAATAATAGAAATAAAGTACACGATAAATATGTTTTAATTATCCTGAAACCATTGCCACCCCCCACCACCACTCCCAGCATCCTCACCACAAAACTGGTCCTGGATGCCAAAAAGGTTTGTGACCAGTGGTATAGCCTATTTCTCCTAGGCTACATACCTATACAGCATGTTACTGTACTTATACTATACATAATTATAACACAATGGGAAGTATTTGGGTATCTAAACATAGAAAAGGCACAAAAAATACCGTATAAAAGATAAAAAGTGGTCCACCTGTATAAGACGCTTAAACATGAATAGAGCTTGTAGGACTGGAAGTTCTGGGTTAGTCAGTGAGTGAGTGGTAAGTGCATGTGAAGGCCTAGGACATTACTGTACATGATTGTTGCATTATTAGCACTACATTCAGATTACACTAAATTTATATACAGAAAATGTTCTTGCTTCAATAATAAATTAACCTTAGCTTACTATAACATTTTTACTCTATAAACTTTAATAACACTTAGCTTAAAATACTTGTAACATTGTATAGCTGTGCAAAAATATTTTCTTCATATTCTTATAAGCTTTTTTCTGTTTTTAAATTTTACATTTTTGTTTTACTTTTTAAACTTTTTTGTTAAAAACAAAGACATAAACATACATATTAGCATAGGCCTGCACAGGGTTAAGATCATCACAATCACTGTCTTCCACCGACACATCCTGTCCCACTGGAAGGTCTTCGGGGCACTAACACACATGGAGCTGTCTTCTCCTGTGATAAAAATGCCTTCTTCTGGAATCCCTCCTGAAGGGACTACCTGAGACTGTTTAAAGTTAATTTATTTTTTTGTAAGAAGGAGTACATTCTAATGATAAAAAGTATCATATAGTAAATATATTAACTGGTAACATACTCATTTGTTATCATTATCAAGTATTGTATACTATACCAAATTGTATTTGCTATTGAGCTATACTTTTATATGATTGGCAGCATAGATTTGTTTACACCCACATCACCATAGACAGTTAATGGGTTGCACTGTGCTGTCAATAGGTGGTAGCAATTTTTCAGCTCCTTTATAATCTTATGGAGCCAGTATCATATATTACAGTCCATTGTTGACAGAAATATCATTATGTGGTATCTGACTGTAATTGAATGTGTTGTGTTCTAATAACTGTGTTTACAGAAATAAATGGCAGACCAGATTTGGTCTACAGGCTGTGGTTTAGCAATTCCTGTCTTAGGATAGTTTTTTTTTTTTTTATTCCTTGCAAATGTGCATGGATGACTGGAAAGAGTTGTTCAACTTATTTGTAACTGGTGAGATAAGTTTGAAATACATGTATTTGTATTGTATGATGTTGCCTGTATTTGAATATTACTTATAATTTTGAAGATACTTTATATGGGTCTACTTAACTGTCTGAATAGTTAATATTTGTCCATAAAGATCGTTTTTCTGTGGTTCTTTATCTGAAGAGGAGTTTCATTTTGTTTTTGTGACTGGAAGGGGTTAGCTCTTTTATATTTTTTGGTATTTTCTACTTATAACTGTGTTGTCATTTTAAATATTACATAATAAAGTGGTCATATTAAGATACTTAACATATCACTATGATAAACCATAATTTGTTTTCCCTTTTTGCTACACTCATATTGAGGCTAGATTTAACTTTTCCAAGAGAAATTGTTAAGGTTTTGGAAGTTGCCTAAACGACAGCCTGACCTCTTGTTTTTTTTTTTTGTTGCTGTTGTTGGTTTTTTGTTTTGTTTTTGTTTTTGTAAAATAAGAGTAGCAAAGGCAACATACTTAACCATACTTTGTAAAACTCCATGCATGTATGTTTAAAATATTTTTCTGGTAATCTAGAGTTCTATTCTAGAGACTGCCATCTGGCTGAAGTATAATAATATAAGTTCACAGTGACCTGAAATCTTTCTTACATGTGATTTTTTTTCTGATTTTCCATTTTTAATAAAAATAGTACTATAATAATATAAGTAATAATAAAAGTACCATAGTAATAGTACTTTACATGGGAATAATTTAAACTTTTTAAACAAAACTGAAATTGCCTAGGATTATCACCTTGTTTAACTTATAATAGGCTATCCTAAGTTGGTATTCTGTGTGTGTTTGGCAGTTGTTTATAGTAGAGCAACAATATGTGCTGTAGGGGGTGAAGAAGAGTAAGGTGTCATCCTTCCACAGGATGCTTATGTGACAAAGGAGTTGCTTTCTTGGGATGGTAAAACATATTCATTGGATTATTGTCTAAAAATTACCTTAAAATTATTTTACATTAGAACTATTTAACGATCTTTGTTTCTATATTAAAGTTGCTGTAAACTTGATTGTTTACCTTGCATTCTTTTTTTTTTCTACAGTATGGATTTGAGTGAAAGGCCAAAAGAAATCAAAGTCTCCAACATGGAACAAAATTTCAAAATGCTTTCACAAGACACATCCACTATAAAGGAGCCCTGCAAAACAAGCTCTAATAATAATAGTATGGTATCAAATCCTTTGGTTAAGATGACAATTCCAAACTATCAGTTTTCACCAACTAAATTCCCAAGTGTAAATAAAAGTAAAGATAGGGCTTCTCAGCAACAGGAGACCAATTCCATCAGAAACTACTTTAAGCTGTCTACCAAAAAAAGGTCTGTTTTTGATAACTTCTCTCATGTCTCTGAAAAAAATATGAAAATATTTTATACTGTTGTAGCATGGTATTGTTTAGTCTGTTCTGATTAAGTATGCTTCTCCTGCTGTGGCTTTTTGGCCCCTTTCCCTCTCAGAAATGTCCCTGATATCCTTCACTAGAGCCAGTAGACAGATTCTCCTTCATCTCCCTTTGTGCACGTACTTACGTGTTGTTTTACTGGCTGCACTTCTCTTGAATAAGAACTAACCCCTATCTCAGTTCTAAAATCACATTTCCACTGTTTTCCTTGATAACCTGTCTCACTCCCTCTAGGACCTTATGCCATCAATTATTTTCTTAATCTCCATATTTTGAATATATTGATCATCCTAGATTTTTTTCTTCTGCTTTCAAAAGCTCAATCTCACCTTTATTTTTGAAAACGTTCTCTTGACCTGGTTTCTTCCTCTAGCTACTGCTGCCCTTTGTCTTGTACTGTCACTGTTAAGCTTCTCAGAAAAGATGATGTTATTTTTCCCATTTCTGTATGAACTTTGGAAGACTTCTTTTCTTCCCCCTACTGCTCTTTATACTCTGTATACTCTGCCTTCAGGTTTTGAGACTTTATTACAGACAGTCAACATATTTGGCCCTAACTTTTCCTTGAAGCTTCACTTCTCCTTTTCCACAGGGCTTTCATGCTGTTTCCCCAGTAACAGACCTCATTGAATGTATGTGGTTTTTTTTTTTTTTTTTTTTTTTTTGGTAGCATAATAGCTTACATTATTATAATTTTTGACTCTTTGTCCTCTGGCTCCCAAAATCAGTATTATTGTTTGTTATTTTCAGTGTCATCATTCCTTCCATTTCCATCTATTGCCAGGTTCAAACTCTGACCACCTAAATTATTACAAAAACCTTTTAATTCGTTGATTTTTCCAGTACCTTGGCATTAAATTAGTTTTAATAGAATATTGGGTTGACTGTTCAGTTCAACATGAATCCAATAAACTGGAGAACAGAGTCCCAGGTCTTTGTTTCCTCCATGGGCTTAGTATAGTTTGCATAAAGTATTCAGTATTTATTGAATGAATGATACAGTATTGTATAGAAACCTTTTGGTGATATATTCACACAGCATTTGCAGTATACAGTCAGTACCATATTCTAGATTTAGTCTTTCTGACTTAATATCTTGAATCCCTCTCCCATTAACCCATCAGATTATATTCCCAGGGTAATTTTCACTGCCCACAACCTTACTGTAAAGCAAACTGCTGTCTCCTGGCAACAGGTTCTTTGTATTTTTATATTTTTCTGCCTTTTCCTATAATTTATCAACTAATGCAACTTAAGCAGAGAAGATAGAGATCTCCATATTGCTTTAGCCACAGGGTCCATCAGTTCTATGAAAACAGCAGAATGTACATGAGTTCTGCACTTTTTTCAAATGTCTATTTGTTGATTTCCAGTAATATTGTTAAATAAAATCAATAATATTATTAAATAAAATCAAGAGTACATTGTGAACTAAGTGGATGGAGTGATGAATGTTGCCAAACTAAAAGATTACTTTGCTGTATTCATTTTCTTGTTTTGTTCTCTTCTTTTTTAAAAATCTAAGGGAAAGGGATGAAGAAAATCAAGAAATGTCTTCATGCAAATCAGCAAGAATAGAAATGTCCTGTTCTCTTTTAGAACAAACACAACCTGCTACACCCTCACTATGGAAAAATAAGGAGCAGCATCTATCTCAGAATGAGCCTGTGGACAAAAACTCAGATAACTTATTTACAGATACAGATTTAGAATCCAGTGTGAAAAATTCTGCCAATAAATCTCATTCTGCAGAAAAGCTAAGATCAAATAAAAAAAGAGAAATGGATGATGTGGCCATAGAAGATGAAGTATTGGAACAGTTATTCAAGGACACAAAACCAGAGTTAGAAATTGATGTGAAAGTTCAAAAACAAGAGGAAGATGTCAATATTAGGAAAAGGCCAAGGATGGATATAGAAACAAATGACACTTTCAGTGATGAAGCAGTACCAGAAAGTAGCAAAATATCTGTAAGTAACATTTTAAATGAGCGGTATAGCACATAGAAGCTTAGAATGTTAACACATAGTTTAGATTTTGTATTGACAATATAAGCATCCATTGTCTTTAATACTCAGTACTATTAAAGTATAGGAATTTGAAGGATGATAAGGTAAATGATAAATGTTAAAAATACAGTGATTCTTTAACAGTGTAAAATAGATGACCACAAATTAAACTTTCATTTGAGATTGTTTTAATAGATTTCCAAATTAGGCTGTACTATTATAAAAGACATTTGGTTATGATAAGCGTAGGAGATGCTTCAGTATGAGAAACAGGACACAGAAGGATGAAGTTGATAAAACAAAGTAGCTACTCAGTAAATTTTTAGGATATAACATCACTAGGAGTTTTCATTTTCATTTAGGTTTTTACTGTCCTTGTCTATTTTCATGAATGTTGTTAATTTGTCTTACCCACTTTGATCTATGAAAACACTTCTGATTATTTTCTTTTCTATATACATCAGTAGGTTGACCTATCTATAGATTTGTTAGTTCTTTAGATGAGAGCACAGACCTGATGAAGTAAAACTTCAATATTCTGATCTTCAACATGGGTTCATTAGTTCCATTCATTCATGGCTGTAGTCATCCCCTCCTATGTAACATCTGCAGAATAAGGACAGGAATAGGTATAAAAATAGGATTAAGTGAATGGAAGTTACAGTTTATTAAGCTAAGCAGTTGAGAACCTAGTGTGTATCAAGGACCTTATAAATTTATAACTGCTATTCAAAAAACAGAATGTATGTCCTATTTGGCCTGCATATTGTTATATTCATATAGGGAAGGAGATCCCCATTATTTGTTACTTCTTTTGTGTGAATCTTAAATGCCCTTCTGTGGACCAGCTGCATTGGAGTCAGCTGGTAAGCTTTTTAAAAATATAGATTCCCAGGCCAGAGCTCCAGAGATTTTCATTCAGTACATCTGGTTTTCCTTCCCGGGATAAGTTCCTTCATTGTGTTAGCTAAGAATTCCTTTGATATTTTTAAAAATTAACTCAGTGGCTTAATTAAGATAGGATCTTTTTTCCTCTATAAAAGTAGCCTGGATGTAGATAATGAGAGCTGCTTCCCATGGTATTAATTTACTGGGTGCCTGTCTTTCTGCTCTTTGAGAGGATGCCTCCAGCCATCTTGTCTGCTTTCCAGGGAGGAAAAATGTGGTGATGAGGGGACAGGGGAAAGGCCTTTCCAGCTGAATTCCTCCCCGTTTTCTAAGGAGCTTTCTTAGAAACCCAACTTAGTAACTTTTGTTATTGGCTAGAATTGAGTATAATTTAGCCACTTCCTATCCTCAATCTAGAAGTGCCTGGGAATGTTTTAAGTTTGGCACATTGCTATCCCTGATAAAGAGTTGTATTTTAGGAAGAGAGAATGAATGTTATCAGATTCCATTTTGCAGCCAGAGTGGGAACTTCAGAGGCAAAGTTTTCATTGTGAAGGATTTAAGACTGATTCTCATTTCACAGAAGCATCAAGTGAAACAAGAGGTTTATATATTCTGTAAGTCACTTCTGTAGTAATTTCTACTATAGTGGAGAGCTAGGTAAGTTAGCTTAATGCGACATTTGTTGAAATCCAAGACATGATTTGCTAAGCTTAATACATTTACATCTGTTTATAAAGCTATGTTTATTCTGTTGCATTATGAATTTACATTGTCACTATAGCTCCAGACTGTTTCAGAATCTGTATTCAGGTTACTTTATATTACATGTAAGTGTTTAGAAAATTAGGCACTTTTTACATTACTTTGGCCACACCTTTGGAAATGCATTTCCCTTCCTTTTCTCCTGTATTTATTTCTGACTTTGTCTGATATGTTCTTATTTTCTTTAGTCTTCTTGTCCTAGTACATACTTTAATCTTCTTTTAAGTAGCCACCCACTCCCCCTTTTTTCTCTTAAATTCCATCCCTGATTAGTCTGCCGCTCACGGTGGCCACAAATCTGTCTGGAAACGGTTGTGGCTTTAGTTTGTAACAGCACTCTTTGGCTCATCCTGGATGACTGCTAATTAATCTTCCTGAAGACCTGTTTTCACTGCACTTTCTCCCAGGGCTCATGTCAGGGCAATGGGCATTAGAACACAGACAGGGAAAGTCAAGAGCTGAGCACTGTACACTCTTGACATGGGAGCCATCAAACAGGCTTTCATAGACCAGAAACACCTTTCATTTAATATGTAAGATTTATATGAGGTATAATGGTATCAGGAAATAAATTATTTTATTTTGCCCTATGATTCTATAGCATAATTCCATTTTTCCTTTATTTTATTGCTTCAGAATTCATGACATTTGAAATGAAAATTTCAGTATAAAATGTGTTGTCACAGGCTTTTGGAGAGAGAATAGCAATTTGATTGTGATACACTCAATTGCGATATCTCTAATTGCGACATAGTCAGCCCTCTGTATTCATGGGTCCCACATCCTTGGATTTTACACCTCTAATTGAAAGTATTTGGGGAAAAAAAGCATCTGTACACATGCAGACTTTTTAAAAATTATTATTTCCTAAACAGTACAACTATTTGCATAGCACTTACATTGTAATTAGGTATTGTGAGTACTCTAGAGATGAGATGTGCCTAGATTATATGCAAAATCTATGCTAATTTTTTTTCTTTTCTTTTCTTTTTTTTTTTTTTGAGACGGAGTCTTGCTCTGTCACTAGGCTGGAGTGCAGGTGCAGATCTTGGCTCACTGCAACCTCCACCACCTGGGTTCAAGCGATTTCCCTGCCTCAGCCTCCTGAGTAGCTGGGACTACAGATGTGCACCACCACACCACACAGATAATTTTTGTATTTTTAGTAGAGACAGGATTTCATCATGTTGGCCAGGATGGTCTCAATCTCCTGACCTCATGATCCACCCTCCTTGGCCTCTCAAGTGCTTGGATTATAGGTGTGGGCCACCACGCTTGGCCAAATCTATGCTATTTTTTATTAAGGACTTGAGCATCCGTAGATTTTGATGTCCATGGGAAGTCATGGAACCAATTCCCCAGGGATACCACAGGGATGACTACTACAAGTTAAATCACAGTATTCCAGCACTATAATTTTTTTTAGTAAGAATCTGTAATAGGTACAAAAGTATTTCCATTTTCAATGTAATGTTATTTTTAAAAACTGTTTATTTTGAGATAATTGTTTGTTCACATGCAGTGAACCCTTTCCCCAGTTTTCCCTGATTGTTACAGCTTGCATTGCCACAGTACAGTATCACAACCAGGAAATTGACATTGATAAAATCCATCAGCTTTACTCAATGTGGGGTTGTTTTAAATTATTTTATTTTTATCATTTTAAGAATTTGTCTGAAAGTTCTTGTGAATCTCATGGATTAAAGGAATTGTGCTTAATTTTTTTAGGTACAGAAATGACTATTGGAGAAAAATACTTCTTAACCTTTTATTGAAGTTTCCCCCTGCTTTTTTTTTCTGCAATTTTATGAGGGCAAAAAATGTGATACTTCTCTTTGCTGTTGGAATCCTTAGTTGCATTTCCGAAAGGCAGTTTTCAAAAGATGTTGATGGTAGAACTGCCATTTTTTTCTGTTTTTGGAGCTAAAGATAGATTATTAAAATTTCCAGCTGAAATGGAAAACTATTAGCTTAATATTCCTGCTAGTACTTTATCCTTATATAAATAGCTGTGCCTGAGTCTTGGTGTTACTTTCAATTTCCCAGTCTCCATAAAATGCAAAACTGACTGAAGATCCTTATTAACATTCTTCAGCTTAACAGCACCCACCACGTCTATAGTATATTTCCTGTTCATTCCACTCTCCTATCTCAAGTTAAGCATTTTTACATAGCCTTTTTCAATACCCAGTAGTAAATTCTTAAAACTATAGCATTTTCCAGTACTCTGTAGTAGTAGCTACCACTTATTGGATACCATTATTGTATTTACAGCAACCCTACAATGAAGTAGTTAATATATGCCTATTGAACACATGTAGAAACTGACAGTGGGAGTTGTTAAGTAACTTGCCTAGGTCACATAGGTAGGTTTTGACAACTGGGACCAAAACACAGGTCTACCTTGCTCTTTTGACTATTCCTTTTGTCAGCTTTCACTGCGTAATTCACTCAGTTATTCAGTTACTCTAGGAATTGGGCCTGCTAATATAAAAGGCAGTTTGATAGGCATTGAGGTAGAATCCCCAACACTTGGTGATTTACTTATATAGGAAATAAATAGATAGGAAAGAATATAAGATAATTCCCAGGCTTATAGTCTGAGGGTATGATTCTCTGAGTTGGAAAATCAGAACTTGCTCAGGAGGATGAACAACTTTGAGAGAGTAGAGCAGGATAGGGAGAAGGTACATAAAGGGAGTTTGTATTCTGAATGTATAAAGGGAGTAAAATATACTGCCTTTGATAACAACTTTCTGTAAATTATATGTCAAAGTGCTCAGCCCAAGTAAAATGGCACTTGATAGGCTTGAAACATACATTTAATCCTAACTATTGATTGAAATACTCTCTTTACTCTGTAGGCAAGCACAAAGTACATTTGTTTTTCAGTCCTTTCCAATCTCCTTTTAAAAACTTTTATCACTTATTGCTGTATTAGTGAAAATATGATATACAATGTTATGCCCATTGCTTTGCATCTAAGAGAATTATAGTTTTTACTGAAAGCATTAGCCATTTATGTAATATTGTTTAGTCTAGGACATGATCCAGGCATGTTAATGTGAAAGATACTATAACTATATACAAGGCAGTCTTCACTTTTATTGCAGATGAATATCTTGAACAGTTGAAGTAACTGTTTCTTCTTTAAAAGTATGATTTAAGATTATATTGTAATCCTAAATGAATTCTTTAAAATGTTTCTTTTTTTATTATAAAAGTAATACATGATCATACAGACATGTGGAAAATAAAATGAACTCACAGTTTGTTGATAATCCTACCATCTACAGAAAACCATGGTTAATATTTTGGTATTTTCTCTTTACATTTTATTTTGCAGACTGTTAATGTAATTCTGTAGTCACTTTAAATTTACTTATAATAATAATTTTCTCATATCGTTAAATATTTCCTAAGCATGTGATTTATATGGATTTAGATTGCTTCCAATTCTTTGCTTTTTGGTTAGTTTTTGTTTTGCAGAAGAGCGATTTATTAGAGAGAGAGAGAGAGTGAGAGAGAGAGGGGGAGAGAGAGAGAGAGAGAGGACAGCTCCCACACTGTTGTGGGAGGGGAACCCAGCGCGGGAAATTCCCAGTTATTTGCCCTTATACTGCAGTATCTCTTTCAAAATATATATTTTCATCTCGTAATTTCAGTTGAAAGCCAAATGTCTCGGCATACATAACATGAATATCTCTTTTTAAGTTTTTAGAAAGGTAGCATTTTACACTTGATCTTATTTAAAAGGCCAGGAAGTGATAGAATTTTATGACTCCTATGAACAGTATTTTTTGTTTTATTTCATAAGCCAGAAAATGAGATTGGTATGAAACGTGAGCTTAAGAAAGAATCACTATGGTCAACTAAAGAAATATCTGTGAGAAAAGTTTTAGTAATTTTTATACAGATTTGGCTTACAGAGACTGTCATCTTATCAATTTTTTTCATTTTACATTCTTAGGATTGTTTCTCTTTCAATAATTTTGGCTTACTTCATGATTGTGCCTCCCCTGGAAATGGATTGATTATATTATAACTATGATGCGGTGAAAAGAGAATAGAGAGAAGCCGGGGTATAATTCCCTGCCTTCTCTCCTTAGATATGTGGCCTTAAACAAGTCATTTTCACATTTATGAACCTCAAATACTCTATAAAATGAGGTTGACACTTTTCTAGCAGGATTTATATCAGATAGAGTAATTGATGTAAAATATTTGTAAACTCGAAAAGTTTAGACTGTTCTTAATAGTGTCCTGATTACATTCTGTCACTATCAGATGAACCTTTTCTTCTGACTGCTTTTATCTTAGACCTATTAGCAACTTGCATATTAATTACATAGTTCAGCAGTTAAAAGAACTAAGATAACTGAGAACTTACCTTAAGCAGCTATAACAATGTTGATATGTAACTAGTTAATAATAAATGACATGAAGCCAAGAATCTCATCCAGCAATTGAAAGATAACAGGAAGAACTCTTCAGGCGAATTTAACAGCTATTAATCTTGTGTCAATTAATAAGGTAGTATGTCCAGAATTGATGATTGATTTTTTGAGATGTTAAGAATAATAAAAAATGCAAACTATTGAGAATCCCGAAAGTTTGGGAAAAGTAGATGAGGACCTGGAGAACAGAATATATAACAATCTCAGTGTACCTTTAATGAAAAGCAGACAATGCTGAGATTGTGTGTCAATAAAACATGTATCTGGAGGCAAATTGTTTATTGAGATGATATTTCTTAGAATAACCTACTAAGTTAAAAATACTTCACAGTTTTTAGCCTTCTGTCACAGATTGAGTATGTTATAAATGTTTCCAAAGTTATAGAGCGTTTGAGTAAGTAGTTTTCTTATTTTGAATCAGATATGATTTGATTCCAAATATAAAATTCAGGTACCAGAAATAAAACATTTTTACTATTTTTTCAGGCATTTGAACTTTTTTCTATCGATTCCCAAATGACAAGTGACTTTCCATTTCCTTGTTATTTCTTCTCTTTCTTACCTATCCATCTTAACCCTGTTTAAGAACAATGACAAACTTCAGGATGAAAGTGAGATGCTTCCAAGAAAGCTGTTATTGACTGAATTTAAATCACTGGTGATTAAAAACTCTACTTCCAGAAATCTGTCTGTCATAAGTGATGATTATGGTCAACTAAGAAATTTCAAGAAATTCAAAAAGGTAGGTATTTCAACTGTATCACAAGAGGACAGTGTTTGAAATGTTTTTAGAAATACTAATGTTGCTAAACAAAAATAAGAGCAGTTTATACTGAAAACTGATGTTATTTATTCTGCTTAAAATGGTTTAAAAATTCCTTTAGGAAGGACATGAACTTACAGTTAATGAATATATTGAACACTTAGAATGAAATAGGTTTGATCAAAATTGAATTCTTAACAGGTTGCTGTTTACCTGGTTTTCTCTACCTTAGGAAGTTTTTTGATAATCACAGGATCTTCTTTGTTAGTCTAATACTGGTCTACAACTGCCTGAAGGGTTCTTTAGCTCAGGACTTTATGAAGATTAAAATGTATTTAAAATAACTGAGCATATTCAATAATTAAAACGATAGTCTTTTTATATTTACATATAAAACACAATATAAATATATATGCTGAGTATCACCATAAGGCCTGAATTTCTGTTTATTAAGGAACTGATATTTATTTTATCAGTAATGGTTAAAAAATGACTTCTACCCAGTAGTTATTCTTTTGTTGTCTTATATTTGCTTTTTGCTCCAGACCTACTTCTGACTGCTAGCTTTTATGATGCATTTGATCAGAGTACAATGATTATCCAAAAGTAATTTTTGTGAAAAACTGCTTTTCTCTATAACATGATCTTGTCATGACTGTGAGGTAGTATAGGTTTTTCTCCCTACTGTAAACACTTACTATTAATATTTCACAGTTAAATTTGTTTTCTACCTACTATGATAGTATCTAAAGGGCTCTGAACTCCATTTGATGGGAAGAACCTCTTCTACTTAGAACAGAAGATGGAAATATCTTCCACTTAAATGGCACCACGATACCTTTTTGTTTAACACCACTTTTTCTCACCCTGTATCTGTGGCTCACGAACAGCACAAAAGTATTCTTACTGCATGGTTACTTCACGTTTAATACTGTGTTACAAGATCTTGTTGTGAAATCAAAATTGAAAAGATGTTTCTTATAGTTTTACCAAAGAAAAAGCAATAATGTTTACTATTGGCACAGAGTGGTGTATTAATAACTGAAGAAGTATGTCTAATATAAATTTCTGGAAAGTGGTTTGGAAATACTTAAAATGCTTAAAAATACTGCTGTCCTTAACCAAGTAATCTGTTCTGAAACTGCAGAAGAAATCCAATCCAAAATTTGTATAGAAATATGTTTAACGGGATTGATACTAGTGCAGCAATTTTCTGAGCTCTTTACATCCCCAAATCATGCTGGGTCTGGTGGCTCACACCTGTAATACCAACACTGTGGGAGGCCAAGGCACGTGGATGGCTTGAGCCCAGGAGTTTGCGACCAGCCTGGGCAATATGGTGAAACCCTGTCTCTACAAAAAAATATAAAATTAGCTAGGCATGGTGATGTCTGCCTGCAGTCCCAGGTACCTCAGAAGTCAAAGAATCGTTTGAGCCTGGGAGGCGGAAGTTGCAGTGAGCCAAGATTATACCACTGTGCCGGGCCAGGTATCAGAGCCCCAGTACCAGGAAGTGGTCAACACTTGGGTTGGTAAAAAGAATTTACCAGCAACAGTATATATTTGGAAAATGAGAGTTTATTAGAGAGAAAGAACACTGCAGAATAGTACAGAAGGGCGCTTCAGCGAGAGGACTGAGCACACCATGGCGAATTCTCCTTAAGAGGATTTTTTGGACCTTAAGGTGGGAGCTTTGGATTGTAAAATGAGTTTCACTATGGGATTCCAGAGATATATAAAAATTTCAATTACCTATAAAAGTTGAAAGAAGCCTGGAATCAAATGCCAACTTTAGATACTAGGGAAATTTGATTACTTCTAAATTCCCCAGGTACAGAGTTTTACCTCCAGTTTGCCTGTTTGATGGTCACCAGTTAGTCTTTGCTCCCTTCCAAATTGCTCAGATAAGACGTTTTTGTCTCTGGGGCCTGTTCAATGGTCACCAGGTGATTTTCTGTCTCCTCACACTGCACTCTCCAGCCTAGGTGACAGAGAGAGACCCTGGCTCAAAAACAAAACAAAAAAATAACAACACAAAAAGACACCTCCAAATCAATGCCATGGCTCTTTTTAAACTTTTAAAATATTGCTTAGTGGTGAAAATTAATTTAAAATTCTCTTTCTACTTCATATATTAGAATTTAAAAGCAAATATTAGGGATCTGTTACTTCCTAAACAGTATTCACAATGATCTTGATATGCATTTGTACATGGAATTTGCTTTTCTTAAAGCACGTCTTGAAACAAAATATCAATTAAAAGTATAAATTGTTGGCATCTCCAACATCTGCTAGGACTCTGTGAACTGGAAGGTTTTGAAAAGTTAAATTTTCATCAATATTAGAGCTTAAGCTTTGAAGTCATTAGAACAAAATATAATGCTTTAAATTGTAATGTCTGTGTTCATCTTGACTTGTTTTAATTGTTAAATGATAAGGTAAGGCCATTTTAAAATAAAAATTCCAAATTAAAATTGTTATTTTTAATACATAACTCCCATGACATGTCCAGATCTGTATATAGTAATAGCTATAAAAGATAAGAGGAAAAACAGATGGATTTAGAACAGAGTTACTGCTCTCTTACTTTTATTTATAGAGATAAACATCTTTGGCACTTATACATGATTTACAATCTTTGCTTTTTAATCTTTTTGTAAAAATGGTCATCTTGTTTGTTAATATGTTTAACCATACTACTTTTATTATTCAATAGGTCACATATCCTGGAGCAGGAAAACTTCCACACATCATTGGAGGATCAGATCTAATAGCTCATCATGCTCGAAAGAATGCAGAACTAGAAGACTGGCTAAGGCAGGAAATGGAGGTTAGTAGGAAGTGAGGCCTAGAAACTTGTTTAAATTGCACTTTGGTCCCTTATGGTGGCCTTCAAGCAAATTCTTCTCAAAATCAAACTTAAAATAAGTGACATAAATACATTTGTTCAGAAAAATTCCTGAGTTACAGAGTACTAATCTATAACCTTCTGTAAAACTTCTTTAAAGAAATACAGGGCCGGGCGCGGTGGCTCAAGCCTATAATCCCAGCACTTTGGGAGGCCGAGGCGGGTGGATCACAAGGTCAAGAGATCGAGACCATCCTGGTCAACATGGTGAAACCCCGTCTCTACTAAAACTACAAAAAATTAGCTGGGCATGGTGGCGCGTGCCTGTAATCCCAGCTACTCAGGAGGCTGAGGCAGGAGAATTGCCTGAACCCAGGAGGCGGAGGTTGCGGTGAGCCGAGATCGCGCCATTGCACTCCAGCCTGGGCAACAAGAGCGAAACTCCGTCTCAAAAAAAAAAAAAAGAAATACAAAGTTTATTTTTGTTAAAAAATGAAAAACAGTAAGACCTAAGAAATTCAGTTTATATCCTAATGAAAAGGGGGGGATAAAAGCCACAAAAATTTAAAGGAAACTAAAAGAATGTGGAGGATATTACAAATGTATCTTAAATAGTATGTCAAAGGGACTGACCTTTTTAAATCTGGGAATTGTGTTTTAACAATTCGGAAAATTTCTCATTCATTTTCTTAAATATTAATTACCTTTTTGCTGTTTTCCCTGTTACCTTTTTCTGGAATTCCAATTTGACATAAGTTAAATTTTCTTTTCCATTTGCTTTAACTTCTTTCCTGTATATTTCGTCTCTTTGTTTCTCTGGGTTATATTTTTGGTAATTGTTGCAGATGGTCTTCCAATTTACTATTTCTCCCATTCTAGTTGGCATTGCATCCATTCATTTATTTTTTCATTACTGGAAGTCTGTTTTATTCCTTTCTAAATCTTCTTGTTCCTTGCTAATTTTTTAAGCTTCCCCTTTTATATTCTTTGAGTAATGATACCATTACCTAAAATGTTTGTTGATCTGTTTTCTGCTCTTGCGATACCTTGTTTTCAAGTTTATGCTTTGTGATTTTTTGAATGTGAACTGGTTATTTTCTTTAGAACTTGATCTGTTGGGTTTTCTTGAGTCTTAAATTCAGATTTATGTCCTCTAGAAAAGATATGTTCATCTTCCAGTCTTCTTCTACCAATATTAGACCACTTTATATTAAAATTTCTTCTTGTGATTCTTTGAATCACCCAGGCAGTTGATGTGTATTAATATTTGGAACAGAAGCCTGGGTGAATGAAGGCCGGCTTATCCTTAGAAAACTCAAATGAGATTTTTATTTCTTTCCTTCACTAAGTGCCAGCATGAAGATGGGCAGTTTCTTTGCTAGCTTCTTCTGTGTTGTAAGGTTTATTTCTCTGTCTTCCTTTAGTGCTGGGTCTTTTATTAAAGTCACCATCTTGGGTTTTCTTTCCTGTCACTCATATATAGATATTAAAGCAGAGTTCAGGTTTTTCATGACTTGCAGATACTCATAGGGCAAGGCAAAAGCTGACTGTGGTCCTTGTTCACGTCTCAGGGTTTCTTAATTTGCTTTATAGTGGGTATAGTGTAATTCACTTTTAAAAATGCTTTTTTAATCAGTTATTTAAAAATAAGGGTTATTTAGGAAAGTCACTTATAAAAATAGAGTTGTTAAGGTCACTCAGGTTATTTACTTTCAAAAAATGAAAGCATGGAAACACATCCTTTCTTTTTTGAAAGAATAATTGGCTTTATTATTTTATAAAAGGTACATTCCACAGAATTATGGCAGTACACAAAGAATGAAGATGTGAAAACCTAATTTACCTGTTTAAACAATTAAGTGAACAATATTCCAGACGTCTTTTCATTGAGGAGTAGTGAGAGGCAGGGACGGACTGGGAAGGAAGGGAGAGGCATTGTTAGGAAGTTAAACTGAAGCCATTGCTGAATTTCTATAGATGTTTCTTCCCTCCAAGATATTTTATTTTGTGAGATCTGTCTAATATTAAGGGAGAAAGCTATAAAAAACACTATAAGTTGGAATCGGTAGTTGTTTTAAACTTCATATTTCATTTCAGATACAATTATTTGTTGGCTTCCTACAATGAAAATTGAAGACATTATCAGTACTTCCTTCTACCTAACCTCCCTCACCTTATGCCAGTCCTATTTTTCCCCTGTTTAGGTGATTTACATGCATGTTTATAGTTGTCTTTCTTAAGCTTGAAAGCCAGTAACACTCAGAATACATCTCAGTGTTGATCATTCTCCATGACTTTTTCCTGACATAGAGTATGCTGTTAGGATTTGCAGGTATAATTCTCTTTCCCAAGGAACTTTTTTCTATTATCTATTTTAAAATATTTTATATTTTCTGGGCTCTCTACATTTAAGACATGACTATCCTTTTATTGGATTATCTTTGTCATCTGCATCTATTTTTTCTGCATTCACTGTGGTTTTCTTAGGCTCTTTCATTGTATCAGAAATTTATATTTCAGTTGTGACTGTAATGTTTCTCGCCAGGTATGTGACCTTAGACAAATTACTTAATTCCTCTTTCCTTCTGTGCAGAATGCGAATAATAATAGTGCTTTATTTCACAGACAGATGAGGATTAAATCAGACACTACATATAAATCATTTATAACAGTGGAAAGTGTTAGCTATTTCTAATTAATTTAATTCTGAAAGGCTGTTATTATGGATCTCAATTTGTTTACTTAGCATTTGTTCTTTCGTTTTTGTATTGTCATCTAATTTTTTGTCATTTCATTGCTTTCATGTTTCGATTTTACTTTTTATTCATGGATTATTTCCTGTAGATTAGGTTCTTTATCTGTTTTTTTGCATGTCCTGTTCCAAATCTCTGTTTTTTTTTCCTTCTAGTAGATGGAGTAGCTTTCCTGTTTTTTGTCTTCGCTTGGGTAAAGGGAAATATCCTATCCAGATAGGGACGCTGTTTGCTACATAAAGGATCATATGTCATCTTATGCAGGGATTACACTCAGAAACCAGTTTGTGAGACAGAAATTGAGTATAATCAAAATTACTTCTAACATTCTTTGCTGTTCCATACAATCAGAATTCAGCCAGGCACAGTGGTGTGGCTCATGACTATAACCCCAGCACTTTGGGAGGCCAAAGTGGTAGGATCACTTGAACCCAGGACTAGCCTGTGCAACATCTTGAGACTCTGTCTCTACAAAAAGAAAAAAAAAAAAAAGCCCAACAAATGAGCTGGGTATGCTGTAGTGCATGTGTCCATAGTCCCAGCTACTCAGGAGGCAGACATGGGAAGATTGCTTGACCCTGGGAGGTTAAGGTTGCAGTGAACTATGATTGATCCTAGGTGACAGAACAAGACCACATCTCAAAATAATAATAATAATAATAAATAAAATAAAAAATAAAGAACAGAATTCCCTCGTGCCTCACTGCCAATATGGCATCATGGTGAAACAGACAAAGGCACATGCCGTGTCCCGTCTAGTTTCTCTTGTCTGAAGACATTGAATCTGGGAGAGGAAAGGCTCAGCTGGAGCTGTGTGTAGCTTGGGCTAGCTGTCCCCTGGGATTTTAATTAAATGTCCTGTACCAGGAGTGTGCCTTGTCTCAAAAGATAATAACCTAGCCTTATTAGGTCGTTTACCTAATTTGTTAGAGATCCCTGGAGCCTCTGTGTTTGGTCAGTGTCAATCCCAGTTCTTCACCTTCCTACCGTTACTCCCTTCCCAGCAGCCCACTAGCAACTGTTTTCCCTGTTCAGGCACCTTTTCCCCAAATTTGGGGCATTAGTAAGAATCTTCAGGCTTGGCCAGTTCTGTAGCACTTTTAATGGATTGGGACAGTATTAGGAATCAGTTGCGTCAGAATCATTTGGTTCTTTACACAGCTGTTCTTTTTAAGTGTGTGGCATGGGCTTAAACTCTTCTTGTTACCACTATCAAGTTTTGTTTGATTAATTTCTGATGAGAGAGAAGTTGAGAGAATGATGATACATCATACAGCTGCAACTTTTTTCATTTTTTTTGCTTATTTCATTAGGAAGTAGAGGGGCTGTGTTCTAGATTTATTTCACCAAATCACTTCTTTTTGCTAGAATCATTTTAGGTGCTATTGTTAGGACTTACTCTGTAACAGACTTGACTTTCTTTTGCTGCGTGGATACTGCTTGTTAATGTAAATGTTCTGTGCTGCCGTCTCATTTCTCTGTTTGCCCCAGCTATTCTTTTTTTATAGTCCCTTCCTATTTTTCTTTTTCATCCCTTCTTTCTCTACCTCTGCTGCAGACCCAGGCTTAATTTTAAGAATCACTTGGTCAGTTCCTGAAGTTCCCTTGAATTTAGGATATTTTCATGTGTACCTCAAATATAAAATTTATTTGAACTATATACAACCTGATTTGAATTTGAAAGACTCTGAGAAGTAGTTCTCTCAGACCTCTGAAAAATGCCAGTAATATGAGGCATTTCTGTTTCTTCATACTATTATATATAATGTTTTTACTAAAATATATGAAATAAAACTCTTTCTCCTCACTGGTTTTTCTTTACTATGCCACAACTTTAAAATTATTCCCCAAGATACCTCTAAGAATATTTGGAAAAATATCCTTAGATATTGATACTAGCAGTTATTTTGACACTGTTTTAACAAAATCATGTCTTTCCATTTATGTTCTGCTATCCCTATTAGAAAATATGAAAAGATAAGATGTAATTTTATTTCAGTATATGAATAGAAAAATCAGTTTGTAAGAACGAATCCCTGCAAGTCACTCTTTAGGCTTGCTCCAGAGATTCAGAAGCCTTGAGGCAGCTTGGTTAAGAGCTGGCTCTCTTATTAAGGTAGACCTGATGAGATCCCAGCTATTCCATCAGAGTTCTCTTATCTTCTGCAAATACCTATCCTAAATCTCTGTTACTTCATGGGTTAAAATTGAGATGATAGTATAATACTAGTAATGAAGTTACATGAAGATTGAGATTTTTAATATATATAAAGAGTTTAAGATAGTATCTGAAAGTATACAAATGTAAATTAATAACAGTAAAAATAAACACAGTAAGTCCTTATTTAACATTGTCAGTAGGTTCTTGGAAACTGCAACTTTAGGCAAACCTATATAACCAATATTTGTTCTCATTATTACAACAAAACAACATGATTCAAGGACTTGCTATATGTCATCTCACTTTCAGTTGCAGTTTCCAAGAAACTATCAAAAACATTAAGTCAGGACTTACTCTATCTGTGTTTAAGGATCTGGTCTTTTAGAGAGGATAGAGTACAAATATAAATAATTATAACAGAAGGTAGAAGTTGATAAACATCCTGGGAATTCTGTAGCTGAAGTTTTGGGGGAGTTCTTCATAGCAGACATTATTTTTAAAAGAAGGAGATCAGGAAGCCTTTGCTAAAGAGGGGAAGAACATGTTCCTTGAAACAGTGTAAGCACCAAGTATTGAATGGAATGTACTTTTAAAGATGGTTACATGTTGGAAGAGGGAAAAAGGGGAATTAACTTTCTTGGCAGAGGGAGAAACATGAACAAAAGCAGAGGGTCACGAGTGCTCAGATGATTCTGGGGTTTGGTTTTTCTGTTTTTTTTGTGTGTGTGTGTGATTATTTTAACTGGCATACAGAGTCCACAAAGAAGAAGTTGAGAAGGGATTAGGAAAGTAAAATGGAACCAGGTTATGAAGAGCCTTGCACATTTCAGGGGGTCATGTGCAAGGGTTTGTGTGTTCCTTGGTAGGTGGGAGAAGTCCCTGAACGGTTTCAAATGGCAAATGATAGGGTCATAGATGGACTTCAGGAAGATATACTCAGCACAGGGATTTTTTGATCCTGACTCTGTAGGGTGCTTTAGGAATTAAGTGAGTTTGTATTTAAAAGGACTTCAGAGTTGAGGTAATTTAGCAGTAGCTTCTAAGCCCTTTTGGGACCCAGAGGACAGGAGCCCCCTTAGCTGTCAAACTGCTCTAGTTGAAGGTGGGGTAAATGCTGCCCTGTCAGTCTCATCCATAGTTTGACCTCCAAGCACTGAAATTCATTTAGTAAAAGGGTTTTGCTGGAAAGAGTGTTTAAAACCACAACAAGCTAGCAATATATATTGGTTGTCTTTGAGTGGAGATTGGCAAGAGAAAGTTGTTTAGTTAGAGCTCTTTTGCAATAATCTTAGCATGGAGTGAAAATAGAGAGGATCAGTTGAATGAAATATTGTAGAGGCAAGAACTCATAGACTTGGTGACCTCCAGGGTGTGGAAATCTCAAAGATGACATAGCAGTTCATTAACTCTACTGACCAAATGTTTGAAATTATGTTAATTTTGACAGGTACAAAATCAACATGCAAAAGAAGAGTCTCTTGCTGATGATCTTTTTAGGTAAAGTTTGATTCAGCTTTCTCGTGTATCTTTGAGAGATGTATATAAAATTTAGTTCTGTTCATAGAAATTAAGAATTTGTTTCTTCTATCCTCATAGACACCTAGTCCCTTAACTTAAAGGATGTTTTATTTTTAACTTGTGTTTATTTTTATTACTTAAGCACCTCTTAACTGAGGCTATTAGATATAGCCTGGAGGTTTGGGTTTAAGTATAAGATACTTAAAATTTGTGTGGGGGCATTCAGGCAAAAAGATGGTTCCTGAATTGTGTGAAATTGGTATATAGATTTGTGAGGTTTTTTAGCTCTGAGTAGAATTTTGATTAAAATGAGTTTTGAATTAAGACGAGTAAAATGCCAGACTATTTGTTTAGTCTTAATTGGCACATACATAAAAACAAAAAGCCGGATTAGAGTTTCAAAGCAGGTTTTGTGGGAGGTTTTAGAGTTGTACTATGTGATTATAATTTAATTCTGATTTAATACATTTTCAGCATTCCTGCAGGCCTAACAAACCTATTATAATAATTGCCTCTGAAGTACTAACAAAATACTTTATTAGAGGTAGATACCAGCTAGGGGAGAGTAATATTTTCCCAACTTAAAGACAGAACAGAGAAATACTTTGAGTCTGTTTTTCAGCCAATTAGATTGATTCTCTAATTTCATAATTGACAGTATAAATTGCTGATAAAAATGTTAACAAACAGGCCGGGTAATCCCAGCACTTTCAGAGGCTGAGGTGGGTGGATCATGAGGTCAAGAGTTCGAGACCAGCCTGGCCAACATGGTAAAACCCTATCTCTATTAAAAATTACAAAAATTTGCTGGGTGTGGTAGTGCCTGCCTGTAATCACAACTTCTCAGGAGGCTGTGGCAGGAGAATCACTTGAACCCGGGAGGCAGAGGTTGCAGTGAGCCAAGATCATGCCACTGCACTCCAGCTTGGTGACAGAGTGAGACTGACTCAATTAAAAAAAAAAAAAGTTGACAAACAATGCTGATTTTTCATAAGTCGTCAAATGAGATGGGTTGTTCAGCCATATTTGTTTAACTGCCAAAGGAGAAAATACTGTAACATGCTAATTACATTTTAGGTAGATAATGTATGTTGTTTTGTGCAAATGATATGCTTTAATTGGGTGGTGGGGGGAGTGGGGATCTTTGAAGCCATACAGAAAGACGTGTAAACATACCTTGATTTTTAAACTGTTTTCATTAATTATTTTAAAGCTTTACAGGGTTTTTGTTATTGATGCTTTTTTGATTTTTGCCATATTTTCATCAAAGAAACATCAAAGGGATAAATGAAAATTAAAATGTCAGTGTTTAATATCTGATCCTAAGGACAAAACTGTCATTCTCATCCTATTTGCCAAAGTGTGACTACAGTTTGAAAGTCCTTTACCTTTAAAAGAAATACCATCCCTTATCTAAATATCATTGAACCCCATTTCTTTCTTTGCAGATACAATCCTAATGTAAAAAGGAGAAGATAACTAAGGATTTTGAAAAGGAGCCATGGAAAAACTTGCTAGCAAGCATCTACTTCAGGCTAACAAGGTTATATGAATATACAGTATATAGAGGAGATTTAAGTTACAAATATTTTATGGCCTAACTTTATTAAATAAAATGCAGAAAACATTGATTCTTTTGTGTGTAACAATTATTGTTTGTTTTCAGGCTTTGTCATCGCATCTCTCTTTTCATTTTTAAATGTGTTTTATTTATTAAATAGTTAATATAGTCACAGTTAAAAATTCTAAAAGTACATAAGGTAAAGACTACCCTTCCACCACTATCCTAGCTACTTGGTTCCTCTCAGAGAAAAATTCATGAT